AAAACAGTAAAACACTTCATGATACAGGCCCCTTTATCAGGAAGTCCAAAAGGTCAGTGAGTTAATCTTGACATATGTTTCAGAGTTCATTCCAGAGTAAAGTATCACTGAGATGATAAAACAGATTAACATCACTAAACTGTCACCTAGAAACACAGTGATGTCCTTAGAATCACTGTCTGAATTGTATTAAGTATGTCTTCCCTCCTCCAAGATAACTATCCTCAACTCTTTCAAATGATCCTTGCAAGATGTGGTTTCCAGTGTTCTTCATCAACCTGTCAGACCCCCTCTAAAAGTAGTGTTCAATTTTGTCAGCTTCCTTAGTTTCCCTACTACAACCAAGCATACTTCCTGGTTGCAAAACTGTTGGTTTCACTAGGAAGCACCACCACAGGGTAGTGAACCTAGGATTCTTAATTCATCAAACTAATTGGGCACAAGGAGCACTTTGAGAGTCACAATGGAATCCTTTTATCATTCTTCAATTGTATCTAGGGCCACAAGAACTCCACCTCAACTGAAAGTAAAAAGCTTATTCAAATATTGCATAATAGAATACCATTTGGGAATTCTTAGCATTTTCAGAAGCTCAGTAAAGTAAAGCTTGTCTCTGTATCAGTATTAATTTGGGATGACAAGTCTGGGTTCCTTTATACTCCCCAGTAGTGTGCCTGGAGAGCCTAAAGCTATGTATGTAGATGTGATAATTGAAAGATTGAGAGTGGATAAGGTACCAAAGGAGACAGTAACTGGAAGAGAAGATATAGGACTGACATCCTATAATTCAGGGTCAGGGGTGGAAGGAGAAAAAGGAATCAGAGGAGGGAGGAAGAGAACCAAGAGAGTTCAGTATCACGGAAGCCAAAGGAGGAAAATATATCGAGGAAAATTGTGTCAAAACACTGCAAAGAATACAAGGATCTAAGACATCTCCAAAAATCTCATGATGGAAAATGCTATCCACAACCAGAGAAAGAACCAAGGAGGCTGAATGCAAGATCGAGGCATGCTATTTGCTCTTTTTTTCCTTTGGTTTTGTTGTTTTGTTTCTTCTTTCTTGTGGTTCTTCCTATTGGTTCTAATTCTTCTTTACAACATGACCAATGTGAAAATATGTTTAATAGGAATCTATATGTAGAGCCTACATCAGATTGCATACCATCTTAGGGAAGGTGGTGGGGAGGAAGGGGGAGAAATTTTGAAACTCAAAAGCTTATGAAAGTGAATGTTGAAAACTAAAAATAAATTAATAAAAAATAAAAAGAGATAGAGTAAATAACAAAACATGAAATAAATTATTTTGAACACCACACCAAAAAAATACTGCAAAGAAGTTAAAGGAGGATGAGGTCCCAGAGTACACTAGATTTGACAATCAGGGAACAGTTTAATTCCACAAATACTTATTGAGCAACTAGAGTACAGCACTCTGACTATTGAAAAATATAAAACTGGAGAACAGGATATAGGGCTGATATACGAAGAATTCCTATAATTCAGAGGAGAGACCACCAGTCATCCTATTTTAATTCCCACTTAAAAGAAGTAGACTGACAGATGACTCTGTAAAAATGGGGATACCCAGGGGGGAAATATGGGTTCTGTAAAACCTGAACAGAGACCAATAAGCCTCTAGGCTTCCTTCTTGAATCATAGGAAAGCAAGTACCAGCAACTAATTCTAGAATTAACCTAGAATCCTCTGGTTTTTTCCATCCTACTGTAATCCCCCAAACTTGACAAATTGGACCCTGGATTTTCTTCATCTGCCTTCTATAGCCTCCAGTGAATGATCCAGATGAAGCTGGGGCTTTAGAGGATTAAATGAGCTATCAGTAAAAAGCACTTAGCATAGTGCCTGGGGCATGGTATGCACTGTATAAACAAAAATTATTACAATTAATGGTTCCGGGAGATTTAAAGTTCTACTTCCAGAAGTTCTTGGATTGCTGGCTGCCTGAGCTTGTGTACACGTACACATATGTGTACACACACACACACACACACACACACACACACACACCCCACACACACACAACGCAATCATTTGTTAAGTAAATTCAACCTTTGTTTTTAACTTGTAAAAAATGCTCTCTTACCAGAATAAGTTCTACACCCATTTGATTTGTTTTTCTCTCCTCATTTCCATATTGAAAAACTTACACTTGGGTATTTCCAAGAAATCTGATCCTAAGCATAGTAATGCTGTCTAAGTTTCTGAGCACAAGGTGCTTTATGCACTTTTCTCTTGTATCATAAAGACACATCCTTTAGCCTTCCAGTGCAGTCTCTGGCCAATAAGACTGTTTAAATACTCAGTCTTGTGCTCCCCAGTTCACCTTTAATCCTTTGGATCTAGCCTTGCATCTTCTACAAACTCAATCCCATCTTCCAGTCACCCTAACAGTACCTTAGCCTACGCCTGCTAAGAAGCCACTTGAACATTTCAGAAAACACTCAAAAGCTCTTAGTCGCTCTCCCTGTTGGCTCCAGCTCAATGCTAGTTCCCCATCTTATCATACCCCATCTCCACTGGGTTTGGCTCCCTGAAACTCGTTTCCAAGCATAACTCCACTAAATGACACCTCTCAATTTTCTACAGTTTATAACTAACTTTGAATAAATTTGATCCTTTCAGAAAACTAGATGAGAAACATGGGACTTAAACAACAGAAAAGGTGTTTTATATATATATATATATATAACCAAAATATATTGTAGTAGCACTCTTGTAGTAGCCTAAAACTGGAACCAAAGTGGGTGCCTATCAACTGGGAATGGCTGAATAAACCCTAGGACATGAATGTAATGCAGTATTATGCCACATGGCGCAATAATATTACATTAACGCCACATTATTATGCCAATGGAGAATGTGTTCAGAGATATATGAAATGGACTTGTATGAAATGATGCAGAAGAAAGAAAATCCAGGTGAATGATATGCACCAATTAACTCTTGAAAGGAAATCCAAAAGGAAGAGTGCCAGGAACACCACAGCCAAAATACCAACTCTTACACCAAAGAAAAAAAATTTACTACAAGCATCCAGAAAATTTCAGTCCAAGTACTAAGGAACTATTTTAAAGATCACACAAGATCTGACAGCTTCTATTATACACAAAAAAAGATCTTGGAATACAATATAGGCTTACAACCAAGAATTACTCATCCTAAAGAACTGAGTATAATCCTCTGGGGGTGGGGAAATGGATCTTTAAGGAATAAGGGCCTTTAAAGCATTTCTGATAAAAAGAACATATCTGGGTAGGACCTCCAAAGTACAAAAATAATAAGAGTCCTGAGAAACCTAGAAAGAAATTTATTGGAGCATTTGGAAGGGGCTTATATGATGTAGTACTAACACTCTAATAGGGGGAGAAAAAATGTGTTTCTTCAGAAACTCAGTGTCATCAAAGGGTATCAAAGGACTTAGATAAGACAGAGGTCCTAGGGGTAGATTAGTTCACATCTGAGGGTTTGAAGAAGGGAAAGAGAGAAGAAAAGGTAATAAGCATAAATTAATGTGGAAAGAAGGTAGAAAGGAGGAGAACTTGATATTTCTCATAACTGGGATATGTAAGACGAGTGTATAAACGTGGAGGAAGGTAAGAGAGGAATGACAATCAGATGAACCTCACGCTTACCTGAAATGTACAAAGAAGGGTTGAACACACAGTCTGTGGTAGAATACATTAAATTCCAGGCAGCTGGGTAGTGCAATAGATAGAGTTGGGCCTGGAGTCAAGGAGACCCGAATTCAAATGCTGCCTCAGACATTTACTATTAGTGGGATACTAGGCAAGTCACTTAACTTCTGTTTGCCTCTGCTTCTTCATCTGTAAAATAATAATGCCTTATGTGGGACAGTAAAAATTCAGTCAGGAGACGGGGTCTCAGTTTGTCTCTCTGTTAAATGCAGAGGTTAGCCTACATAGTACAAAGATATATTCTACTTTATTTGTGGTTTAGTCATTTTTCAATTCTGTCCAACTCTTCACAACCCCTTTTGGGGTTTTCTTGACTGGATTTGTTTGCCATTTCCTTGTCTAGCTCAGTTTTCAGATGAGGAAACTGAGGCAAAGAGGGTGAAGTGACTTGCCAAGAGTCACACAGCTAATAAGTATCTGACGCTGGATTTGAACTCTGGAAGAGGAGTCTTCCTGATTCCAGGCCTAGCCTTCTATCCACTGTGTCATAACATCCTAATTAAATAAGGAACTAAAAGAAATAATAAAAGGGTTGAGTTACAACTTCTAAAATAACAATAATAATAATAATAATAATGCCGTCCCCTCTGGATTGTTGTGAGAATTAAGTGAGCTAATATTTGTAAAAATCACTGAGCACAGTGTCTGGCACACAGCAGGCACTATATAAATGTCTATTCCCTTTCCCTTCCAGTTAACAGGCAAATAAGCATGAATGAGCGGGAGGACACTTAAGAGAGAAGATAATACTGGAAAGGGAAGTCACAAGCAAAATAAACTTTCTCATCCTGAAGCAGGGTTTAGGGGGGGAGAGAAAAGTAAACTAGAATCTAAGGAGGTGACTTAGATTATGTTAGACACAGGGGAATGGCTGAACAAAGTGTGGGGTGTGATTTCTTTAGCCTTCTTCAAAGCTGAGCTGTAGCTCTAGCACCACTTCCTACATGAAGCCTTTCCTGACCTCCTAAGCTTCTAGTGCCACCCGCCCACCAACTTACATGCAATTTTAGCACAGTGCCTGATATATAGGAGCTCAATATATGCTTGATGATTCATTGACACAGCAGGTGTCAGTTTGCTTAACTGTTTTACTTTGTTGTAAGAGAAAACTATGGGGGCAGGGAGTTGATTTCATTACTGTAAAATAATAATAGTACAGAAAACAAAAAGCATCAATTGAACAATTTTTTCAAAGACAGGGAAGTCTAGATCATAAGTTACTATCAAATCAGTAGCTGGCATAAGAAAACGCATTCACACAATTCCCAAGGCAAACAACGAGGCACATGTTGTTAACAGCACATTTAATTATATATTACACTTAAAAATTTTTTTAAAAGAGCATTGTCAGGCAGCAATAGAGACTGCAGAAAGAAGCATGAAACAGCCAGTATTAATAAAATGTTTTAAAACTTCAGGTCAATATGTATAAGATCAGTGTTTGCTGGATAGGCTGCTCCTTGGTCCTGTGCCTCCCTACTCTCTTCCTTATTCCAAGATCAGAAGTGAGAGCAGCACCACTAACATAGAATAAAGTTCAGGCCCTAACACAAGATAGCAAAAGCAGCACAAATGGTGGTATTCCCCTGGAGCCTGCTCACTTTTTCTGGGCCACTGTTTATAAGAGGAGCTAAGTCTATGGAATAAGTCTAAAGACTTAGCAATAAACTTACACCATGTTCAAAGTCCCACACACCATCTTATAATATAGGCAGTTTCCATTTGTAGTCTCATTTCAGGAAATCCACTGTGGTCCACCCATTGCTTACATTTTGTGCAGCCACACAGCCTTTCTCTCTCTATCGTAGTCATAAAAAAATCTGCACTAGCTTACTGGGATACCAGCTATTCCCTTAAAAGAGACTATGTGATCTATTTAAGGGCTAAAGCCCAAGCATCTGTTTTGAGAAAGAGGTGCAATAGTATCTTTAAAAGAAAAACACCAATAAGTTATATAAAATTATTTTCTGGACACAAAATGTCACCTAAACCTGGTATCCAATCCACCAGTCACAGAAGTGACTAAGGAATACCATGGGAGGCTAAAATCACTAAAGATCTGCAGATACAAGTTAAGGCTTGCTCACAGAGTCTGCATACTCTAAAGTTAGGAAATCTCTCATAATTTTCCTACTTGACTCCAATCAACACCAAGGGAGAAAATTCTGATCTGTATGGTATAGTTGGGACCGCATACAACTGTAATAAACTGTCTTCCCTTAAATTAATCCACAAAGTAGGCTCAGGAACCCTGGAGTGATCTGGGGCCCTTTTTAGTATTATTCACTAGATCCTGAGACTGCAGAATCCAGTTTGCTGACATCACCCCACTATCCGGCCTCTCTCTCCTTAAGAAGGAGGGTTTGCAGATGTGATACAGTTCCCATTCTCTTCAGCTGGGAGAATGGACCCGGGGCAGCCATGAGAAGCCATCTTCTTTCCCCTTACATGTTCACTGCTGTTCAGGCACCTGCTTTGGGGATGGGGCTGTGGTCACGACGACAGTAGAGACAGCTTTGGAAGATCCAGAAGCTGTTCCCTGTTGGAGGTGGGAAGCTGGGACTGTCTGAATGCGTACCTGTTTATAAAGAGATAGTGTGAGGGGCCCTAGAGAACAGACAGGATTCACCAATCAGGTTAAGCAAGGGATGATGAGAAGTTTGCTATGACCAGTAGAATTCCCTGACGTTTTTACCTGTGTGGCCTGGCCTTGTTGCTGCAGCTGCTGCAGCTGCTGAGCAGTGAGGAAGCTAACAGGTTTGTTACCAGTGATGAGCTTGGTGCCAGCTGGCATAGTAGTGAGGATAATATTCCGGCCCAATCCACTGATACTGAGGAGAGAAAACAAGAACTGATGTAAGATCCCTCTGCTCCACAAAATTAAGCTGAGTATCTTAAAACAGTGTAAAGTCTAACAGTAACAAAACCAGTATCGTGTACAAAATGGCAACTGGTTGATAAGACTATGTCTCATCAAGAGGAGGTAGAGTATCAAAATGAGCCAGAATAACCTACCTCCTCCATAATTTTCTTTTTCCTAACTAGAAAAGAGAGTTTAAGCCTCAACTCTGCTCTCAGCCTCCCTACCATCACTCACTTGGCTCCAAGGTTGCTCTTGATGATCGGAGCCGTAACCACACTCTTGCCTTTCATGGGTTGGCTAATCACTGACAATGGCACTGTAATCCGTGTAGGCAGCTTACCCTACAGAGAAAAGAAGAAATGAAATAAGCATTAATTAAGTGCCTATTCACGTGCCAAACACTGTGGTAAGTGTTTTACAAATATGGTCTCATTAAAAAAAAAAGTATTTCTGTGGGATGAAGGACACAGAATAGCACTAGGAAAACTTTTAAAAAGCTCCCACAGAGCTCCAAGCACTTGAATTGCAAGACAGATCCTAGGTTAACCACTTTCATTACCCCTTCCTCTCCAGGTTTCCAATGAGCCAAGAAACTTAGGTCAAAAGTCAAAGAAGCTCTAAAATGTACATAAGCTATAACCTATACAAAAATGTCCTAGTCCTACCCTGCTGCAACCCACCAAAAAAACAAGAAGGTAATTGTGGGTTTCCCATTTAGTATCATAAAGGGAAAGATAAAGGAGCAGAAGAGTTAATAATATTGAACACAATTCTAGTGCTCCACTGGAATGTGGGTTCACTGAGGAGGAACTAGCAAAAAGGGCAGTGGTAGCAATTTAATTAAGAACAAGACCACAAGTTATGCAATCCTCAGGTATGTTCAGTTTCTTCCAGGGATATGCATATTAGTATAAGGCTGCACAATCAGCCAAGTGAAGGAAATCCAGTTTCCAGGGCCCAAAATTAATGTAGCAAAACTAAAGATGTGCAGTGGCCCTGAAGGTTACTCAAATCTGCTCTCAAGCTAATTGGCTCCTCTACTGTTGTTATTTTTTCTTGTCAGTAACAGAATTTTTGCAGGTGCGTGATAATACCCCATGAATTCAGACAGACACCTCACTTAGTGCTCATGAGCAGCAGCAACATTTCCCCTGGGCAGAAAAACAGGGACAGGAACAGCCACCAACACACCTGTACCCCTAGAGTTCACCTCAGTCTCTGCTGTACCTAGTTTATTTCCTCTTTGTAACTCACTAGTCCAACAGAGAGGACAATAAGGCAGAAGAAAGACTAGGGACGGTGTCCTTCAAAGATGGCTTAACTGATTAAAACATAATTCAAAGAACCAATGCACTAATTGGAAGCGTCAACAGTCTTTCTGCCAAAAGAAAGCAGCAAAGTCAAAGTCCTCTATCAATCAGCTGCCCGAGCTTGTCTATTCAGTTGTTTCAATGACAGACCCTACTGGGAACTACCTTTCTATGTTCAGTGAATCAGCCAACAAGTATTTATTAAGCACCTACTATGTGCCGGACATTGTGCTAAGCATTAGGAATACAAAGGACAAAAGTCCCCATTCTCAAGGAGTTCAGTCTAAGGGAAGAGCTCACTGACTCAAAAAAACAAAAGGGAACAAATAGCATAAAGCTTCCTTGCATCAACATTTCTGGTGCTACAAGTGGGAAAAATAGTATTAAATCACTTTAAAAGACTTTAACTTAGACTTTTCACTAAGAATGGCCCTTCTCACAAACCACCCCACCTGCATTCTGACCCCCTGCTGATTTTCATAATCAAATGATCTAAGATCTCAGTGTACTCCTTTTACCATAGAAAGTAACACTAAGACCCTATTGCCCAGTATAGGGCAGGTTTTATAAATACCATGAATGAATTAATAAAAAATAAAACTGCTAAGGTCAGGTAGAGTGGTATCGAAATGGGGAATACCTTGATTTCCAGCCCTCCTTACTAGAATAAGAAGCCTGACTAACTTTCCTTTCTAACAGAAGCAATTGCGTTGAATGACTTTAAAAGGGGCTTTTATGAGCAGGCCACACTTAACTCAAAATGTTACTCACAGCCTGGGAAGTGGATACAACTGTGGTGCTCACAGGGACCTGTCGCACAGTGGTGGCTCCCGTTCCGATGCTGATAGGGGTGCCTGTGGCCCCAGAAGCCACTGCCACAGCCTTTGACACAGCAGCACTCATACTGGGCAAGGACACAGTGGAAGTATGAACAGCTCCAGGCCCGCTGGCTGAGGAGGACCCTTGCTTGGGATGGGTGGCAACTGTTATAGTTTGGCCTGGTTTAGGAGGCATCACTCCTAGTCCCTGCACAATGCGGATTGTAGCAGCTGGCTTTGCCTCTGTCGAAGCCACTGCACCTTTGCCCTTTTGATCTGCCACACTCACACCAAGCGCTGGCATCAAACGGAAAGCTGAGCTTGAGGCTTCTGCAGGCTTCAGGTCAGGGGCTACTTTGACCACAGTGGTACCTGCTGGAGTAGATGAAGGGGCAGTAGCCGAGTTGGCCTTGACGGGGATGTCAGATGTATGCACAGGGTTGGAAGTGACATGCAAAGTAGCAGAGATGCCCTTTCCTGCAGTACCACTTCCTGCCCCAAAGAGGTCCTGAGTCAGTTTGACTGTAGTGACCTGGGACTTGGCCAGGGTAGCCATCATGTCAGGAGTTATACGTAGAACCGTCTGGCCCTTAGCATCGGTGGTGATGGACGAGGGCGGCAGGCGCAAAACATCCTTACCCTGGATACGGAAGTTAGTGGCTGTTAGCGGGATGCTGTTGCCTGTTTGAGGCTTCATGCCTAGCTGTCCAGTAATTGCCACCTAGAGGGGGAAGAAAGGCACTGATATGGACTGGAGAAGTCTCTGCTAAATGGGGTCATGTTAAGACTACCTAAGTAATAATACCATACAAAATTTATAAGCACATTTTCCAAAAGACAATGTTTACATGTTCAAATCTACTTAAGAATGCTATTTTTTTATGTTTAATAGGAATGCATATGTATAGCCTAAATCAGATTGTGTGCCATCTTGGGGAGGGAGGCGGGGGGGGGGAGAAAAATTTAAAGCTTATGGAAGTGATTGCTGATAAATTAAAATAAATTAATAAAAAAATGCTCTATTAAAAAAAAGAATACGATTTTTTATATTCATTAGTAGTAAATGAAAAGCAGAGAAGGGAATGGTTTGTATAAAGGTACAAGTAAAAACAAATTCTCAGAGGCCTAACTCCCAACCAAGTAATACAAATGGATTTCTTAAAAAATAAATGCTTGCAATGCTTGTACTGCCTTCTACCAGAACTGAATTGAAATCAAGGGTAAGTAAAAGACCAAATAAGCTTTGCACATCCCTATTCTCTTTCCCAAATATCTCCTAGGTTTCTGGATTTATAAGCCAAGGCCACCCAAGAATTAGTAACCTGTTTGATGATATTCTGGCCAGGTACATTCTGGATAACAGTGGTTGTGGAGGAACTTGATGCAGAGCTTCCAGGGGAGCTGGTGGCAGGTTTCGCTGCAGGGCTAGTGGTGGCAGTGAGACCTGTCACTGTGAGTCCTGCCTGGCCTTGCCCAGGACGCTGCACAGGTGCTGGGGCTGGGGGAGGCTGAGTTTTCACTGGAACAGTTGTCATCACTGTCTGGCTCAAGATAAGAGGAAAACAATTCATTCAGACACAGAATAGGGACCAGCTCCAGGCAGGATCCTACTCTTAGTATGCTATAGCACCAAGGACCTTCCCTACAAAAACTCATTTTTTCCAACATACCTAGTTGGAATATATTAGAATATTTCATTTCCCCAACACAAAAAAACTGAAATCATTTCACCTTGAGGCTGCAGGACTCAATATCTAAAACTCAATATTCAAGGGACATAGAGAGCTATACCTGTATGGTGCTTTCTAGTTTTCAAAATGTTTTTAAAGGAACTCATTTTAACATGTCCCTTTAAAGTAATTAAAACAGAGATTACTTTTCCCATTTTACAGATGGGGAACTTAAGGCAGGCAGGATAAGACTTCACTCAAATCACACACTAGTAGATAAACTGAGACTAGAATACAGGTTTCCTATTTTTTAGGCTCAGGGATCTTTCCAGTAGAATCACTAGCCATGCTTGCTTCAGTTTCTCCTGCTACCTAATGCTCTTTAGCCTCCATACTCACTTGTGGCACGACTTTGGTCTGTGTAGCAGTGGCTGGAACCCGGATTTGTGGGCCCACTGGCATCTGTGGCAGTGTCTGTGTTGAATTTGTGGACTGTTGAGTGACAGCAGGAAGGCTGGCCTGAGCTACCACCCTCACCTGGGGAAGTCCAGTTGAACCAGAATGGCTCACCACCCGGCCAGTGGACTGGGAATTTGGTGGAGTCTGGTTACTTGGAGTTGGGGACAGCAATGTTCCCAACTGAGGCATTGTTGGTGAGGATACTAAAAGAACGCTATAAAAGAAAAGGGAAAAATCTTAGGATGTCCAAATGAAAAGGCATGGAGGGAAGAAAGCTAGGGAAGAAAGGGAAGAGTATACCTTGGGCTAGATTTAGCTGGCTCCGGGCCTGTACTAGGTGCATTCTTGCCAACAGCTGACACAGGTGGAGGTGATATGGGAGTAGCAGGCAAGGCCGGGGTGGTCGGGGTGACAGGTGTGACAGGAGTGGCTGGCATGCTGGAGTCACTAAGACTTAGCTGACTTGGCTCTGATGTACCACTGTTAAGCACCTTCACAGAGCTCTCCTTATTACTGGACTTCTGCAACCAGAGAACAAAGACAATACGCAGGTCTAATCATGAGCCCAATGAAGGAGGGCATAGTTACCATAATTTCAAAGGCCATTTGATTGAGTGGTAGAATATACTTGGTTCTCTCAGATCCACAGTCACTTACCACTTTGGCAGGGGGCTTAGGTTTTTGCTGCAGGGCTTTTCTGGCTTTTGCTGCAGCTGCCTGTGCCTGGTGAATTCTCTCTGTGAACAAGAGTAAGTACTAAGCTACACCAGAATCTCAGAATCCTAAGACTAGCATTATTAGAATTCACCCCCTAGGCCAATGGCAACCACACTATGGGGCTAAATCCTGCCCTACAACCCTCTAACTCTTGTCTGAAACCAAATGAAAAGAATAAAGAGATCCAACTAGTAATTCAGATGACTTCCCGCTTGTAGTCTAACCCAATTGACCCAGAGGCCTCACACACCAAACTCTTCCTCGCTTCGATCACGGTGAAGGTAGATCCACAACTTTCGTCCAATGTCATATTTTACACATGGGTCTTTCTCATAGTGTAGTCGGTCCAAGGCACCACTTACTACTGTATTCACCTGAGAAATGTAAGTATAAGTGAAGTAGAGGCAAAAACCAGGTCCCAGGAAGTAGCTGAGCCCTAGAGATAATCTGCTGAGTTTAACCAGTCTATGGGCCTGTTCTCAATTGTTCCCTCTAAAGTATTCAGCACTTTCAATCCCACTATGTACATTTATTAAGCACAGTACTCAATAACTCTCTATTGAACTGAACTGAATGAGGTCTCAGAATAATACACAATTGTTGAAATCCAGGAAAAAAAGGAACTCATTTCAGTGAATATGAGCTTTCCCAGAAGATCCTAGAAATGTGACAACTGGCATAATCTTTTCTCCACCTCACCTGAGTGCTGGTAACATCCGGAGCAAGGAATTGGGAATCCTTCAGCAATTCACAGATTTCTGCCCGAGTCCCTTCTCCATTGGGCAGTCGGGCTGCAGCATCCCTGACTGGAGGTGGTTGTAAAAAGTGGAAATAAGAGGAGACAGGAATTCCATTGCAGCACAATATCTCATTCATTTCCTCTTCTACAGAGAAAAGGCCTCGTCTCCCCTTACTGTACTTGGTCAGTATCAAGGACAGCCTGCCCCTGCTGGCTGATAGTGGTCTCCACACTTTCCTAGGCTACACATTTTAAACAATGTTGAAGAATTTCTTGGCACACATCTAACTATCATTAATTTCCTCAATTCCTCAGTAAAAAATAAATTTTTAAGAAACAGACTCCAGAAGGAAAAATAATTCAAGTAAAGAAGTTTGGGGATAAGCCCAGCTCCTCTGCCCCACATGTTCTTCCCTCCCCCCACTATAAAAATTCCCAATATACCCTCCCACCACACACACACACACACACACACACACACACACACACACTCACTCTCGCTCTCTCTCTCTCTCTCTCTCTCAGGTGATATATAACTGTCCCTGAGATTTCTGATGAAACCAAAGCAAAAACTAACAGCCATTATCTCTACGGTCCCTTCTATCTCTAAATCATATAAAAGATCATATAAAAGAAAATATTTCCCAGAAAAAAAATCTAGGTGCCTTACCAAGAGACAGAATGGTGACATAGGCAGGGCGATCTGAGCGCAACAAAGAGTGCTCCCGGGCCTTGTTAAGTGAGGTCTCTTTGTCAAAGACACCTTTGACTGGCCCCACCACAGATTCAAAACCATGCATTCGGAAGGTGAAAGCTTTGTGAGGCTGGCTATAACGGAAACGTTCCTGGGACAAGCAAGTAGAAGAGGAATAGGTCAGGACCATGGAGCTCTTTTTGTCCCCCATCAACTGAAACTGCTTTTATCAAAGTTAGCAATTATCCCTTCATTGTCAAATCTAATAGCTTTTTCTCAAATCTCCTTTCTTGACCATTTTGCAGCATTTGGCACTGTTAATCGCCCTCTTCTCCTGGATACTCTCCCATCTCTAGGTTTTTTGGAGACACTGCTCTTCCTAGTTCTCCTATCTGACTGTTCCACAGGCTCCTTTGCTGAATCTTTCTCCAGGTCACAGCCAATAACCATGAAAGAACCTCAAGGATTTGTCCTCTGCTCTTTTCCATCTACACTATATCACATGGTGATCACATCAGCTCCCACAGGCTTAATTAAATCTATACATATGATTCTTAAACCTCTTTATCCAACCCAAACCTCTCTTCTGATTTCTAGTCACATATCACCAATGGCTTACTGGATACCTTAAACTTGATGTCCCATAGACATTTCAGTGTCAACACATCTAAAGCAGAACTCACAATCTTTCCCATTAAATCCTTCCTTCTTCCAAACTTCCCTATTACTGCCAACAGAACCATTATCCTCATGGTTACCTAAGTGCTTGACCTTGCTTTCATCCCTAGCTTCCTCACTCATATTCATTACATACATCCAATCTGTTGCCAAGCCTGGTTGTTTCTACCTTCACAACATCTCTTATATTTGTACCCTACTCCTTACTCACACAGCCAGCACTCTGTGAATCCCTTCATACCTACACTATTTCAACAATGTGCTGGTTGGTCTCTCTTCCTCAGCTACCTCTCCACTCCAGTACATTCTCCACTAATCTGCCCTAGTGATCCTCCTAAAAGGAAAACCTGACCTTATCATCTCCCCAACTCAATAAACTCCGGTAGCTCCCTAATCATGATCTCCATCATCAAACATAAAATCCTGTTTGGCTTTTAAAATCACACAACCTGGGCTATTCCTGAATTTCAAATTTCCTTACACTTTACTCCCCTCCAGGCAATCTACAATTAAGTAACACTGGCCTTATTTCTGTTCCTCAATACAACATTCCATCTCCCAACTCCTCACCTTTTCACTGGCTGTCCACCATGCCTGGAACGCACTCCCTCTTCACTTCCACCTTCTGGCTTCCCTTCTGGTTTCTTTCAAGACTCTCTCCACCTCTCCTTAACCCACCACCAACACCACCACTTCTTTTTTTTTTCTTAATAGTGTTTTTTTTTCCAATTACATGTAAAGAGAGTTTTCAACATTCATTTTTGTGAGATTTTGAGTTCCAAATTTTTCTCCCCAGCTCCAAGATAGCAAGCAATCTGATATAGGTTATACATGTATAATCATGTTAAACATATTTCCACATTAGTCATGTTATAAAAGAAAAATCAGAACAAAAGGGAAAAACCACGAGAAAGGAGGAAAAACAAAAAACAAAAAAAAGTGAAAATAGTATGCTGTGATCTATATTCACACTCCATAGCACCACCACTGCTTCTGAGATCTGTCTCTCATTTACACTGAGAAAGCCCAGAGGGAGGGGCCATGTTTTTGCCTTTCTTTCTATCCTCAGAACTTGGTAGAGTACCTAACATAAAATAATAACAAATAATAAATACTTGTTGATAAGCGTAAGAACTGACCTTAGAGGACCCACCAAAGTGACAATAAGACAAAGGGAGGGTAGTCAAAGTCATGAAACAGTGAAGAAGCACTGGAACTGGATGAAGACCTTGGGAACTTGTGTAACAAGTTAATTCAACTCTTCAGGTCCATTCTATTTGTAAAGTGCTTAGCCCAGTATTTAGCACATAGTAGGCATTTAATAAATGTTTGTTTCTTTTCTTCTTCCTGCCTTCTCATCAGTAAAATGTGACAAGATGACCTCTGGGGCCCCTTCCAGCTCTAAATCTATGATTTCATGATTCCAAGCAGCTAGCTCATTTACACAGAATCAGGGAAAGAAAATGCGGCCCTTTTATAAGCCCTCTCAGTACTAAGAAAAAGCAAGTTCTTGGTCAGAAATGATATTATCTTTATTTACCAATACACAGCATTCAGGTTCTATATGTTGGTAAGCTATATCTCCTTCTCCCCGCCACCCCCAAACGTTTTCCTGCTAAGGCTCCTTAAGTCACCAGATTGTGTCTTTTTTTATCTTGGTATCTCTCCCAGCATCTAACACAGTGTTCCTGGCACTTAAATGTTTGCCACAGTAATTTAAGACCTATACAAACACTTTTTGTTGCTAATGATGAAGAAAAGGTGATAAGAAGATTTCCATTTCCAACCTGGTTATGGATCTAAAAGATTCTATAAAGGACTAGATATCCCACCTAAGAACTTAGACACAAGTACAACTGGGTCTGAGGCTTTTTTACACAAATTTTCACTCATCCAGGGTTCACACTGTTTCAAGTTCTTCCTTACCTGCTCCTGAAAAACCCGCTTCTCTTCCCCTGTGCTGGGCCGGACTACATAGTCAGTTCTTCTGGAACACAGAGTTTTAAATCAACCCCAAGTGGCAGGTTCATAGATCAACTTCTCCATCCATAGCACCCACCAACTACGGCCTTTACTCTACAACTCTCCCACCTTTTTCTACCTGAAATTCTTCCCTTCCCCACGACCCCTCTTTCACAGCAAAGACAGAATTCCCCCTCTCCCAGCTCCCACCAAGTAAGTCTCATTGGCTTATTCTACAGTCCCTCTAAATTCTGAGGATTCCGAATAGTAATAGTTGGGAAGGCTGTTTTTCTGGCACTACTTAATACGTAAACCATGTTTTTTATCATCCTTAGTTACCTTACTTGTATGTACATGGTTAGTTACAAACATTTTGCAGGCTACATAGTAAGGCTTAAAGAATAATAGACTCCAGGAGATTTTTTTAGAAGGTTTAGATATTTAGTTCACAAGCATCCTCATTGTCTATCCTCACTAGGGAAAATTCAACTGCTTACAAATATAGGATGCAAGAAAAGTAGCTAAACCACAATTCACATAAAAAGGGATTTTAGTGGACTTTAAAAGCACAATGAATCAACATTGTTAAAGGGCACTCCCTCCAACCCCACTCCATTAAAAAAAAACAATAACCACTCTTGGGCTGATTGAATTCCATGTTCATAGTGTCCAAAACAAGGGAGGTCCAGCTGGTTAGACTATTCAGGTCTGAGCAGCACAACAAAGTGACATTATCTAAAGGACACTGAGAAGCTGGAATGCATCCAGAGGAGTGGCTCAGAATGGTCAGAAGACTAAAAGACTAAAAGCCAGGCCTTATAAATATCAGTTAAAAAAAGACACAGTAATGCCTGAAAGAGTCAATTATTCTGTACTTACACTCGGGGACCTGGTGTTGTGGCATCTGAACTGTCTTCATTTTCCTGCTGGACAACAAGGCAAATAATTTAACTATGAAAAAGACTGAATTCTGAAAGCCTTGGACACCTAAAGGGTCAAGAGAATCATATGGAAAGATTCTGATAGTTCTTAGGAGCCATACCTTGCAGAAAGTTTGGTCTTTGGTTTCTAGCCACAGTTGGAATAAGGCAGCTAATTCCTTCTCATTGTCTTGAGATGAGCCTATTAGTAGAACCAGAAAACAACGAACAATCACATCTAAGTATACAACTAAGAATCCCAACTTCCTTCTAATCTACCATTATATTGAACCATCTGTAAGAGATGTGCAAGAGCAATATTCACCAATTAATCAATTTGCTTTTCATGTGTCTCCTGTGACACTTAAGAAATGGGAAAGGGAAAAGTTTCCTTCATAGAACAGGTATCAACACCAATCCCTTCCCCTTCCCTTAGCAACATCAGTTAACTGACCTTCCCTGGGATGGACATCATTCAAGTACACACATAGAGCTGTAACTAGAAATCTTTTCACCTGGAGTAAAAATAGTTGGGACCTGAGGGGTTACACAGATGCAGTCATGCCAGGAAAAGGGTACAGTTCAGCCTTCAAACTCACCCCACCTCTCACTGCCAGTGAGAATGAAGAAGGAAAGGGGGCCCAGGAGATGGATGACACAGAGAAGGGAATTTGGAGGTGGGGGTGGAGGCGAGGGAGGAATTCCTCCTTCAGAAGGGATCCTGAGATTGTGGTAACATCACAAAGGAACCCTGAAGACAGCAGTTGCTGCGTACAGCAGTTTGGGGAAAAGATAACAGGGGACCACAAGGGGAGAGGAGGTGGCAGTGGCCACCACAGGGATGAAATATACCCTCCTGGGGAGGTAATATGCTCTACCCTCAAGCCTAGATGTCATCACCCTAGGATAAAGCTGTTTGCCCCACACCAGTTCCATAGTGGGCTTCACAGACTGTAGAAAAGATGGGATTCCACTATTAAGAAATAGCCAATTCAGGGCAAACATCTCTGGACTGGGTAATCATTGCAATCCAATGATCTAACAGATGAAATAATGGAAAGATGTTTTTGAATTAATCCAGAAAAACATAAATATTCAGTACAATAGCAAAGCTATAATTAGTCTATTAAATTGGACAAACAATTATTAAGCATCTATTTGTGAGAGGCACTGTACTCAGAACTAAAGAAAAAAGGGCAAAAGAAAGAACAAAAAAAGGACAAGAAGCTTCCATTGAGATAGACTGAACAGATCAGACTATACTACACATCAGCAACTAAAATCTAAACAATGAACTCTAGCCTGGAATGATGAGCACACTACCAAGCCAGAGGACCCAAACGGAAACAAGAAAGAGGTCTTCTCTGGATGAAAAAAGGCTTAGACCAATTATTTTACCTAGTCTTCAGAATTTCACTGATTAAAAGAAAGAGAAAGAATGAAAGAGGGAAGGCTCAATGGTATAAAGAGGCAAAGTATACTACTTACCAATCAATTTCCACTGCTGGGTCTTCTCCTTGAACTCAACAAATGGAGAGAAGCTAGAAGGAACAGCTGTAAGGAGACGGCTCAAATCAGCAAACTGCACATCAGAGACAGTCTCCCACTTTCTACCGACCCAGAAAACAGCTGAGCTAGACCCTCAGAGTGGGCCAGGTGGCAAAGCCAAGAAGCCTTTAAAGGACTGCTATGGAAGATCATGGGCACATAGCACTGGAGCTGGAAAAATCAGCCAAAAAAGCTGCAGTACACTAATCAAAACCTAATGTAAAAAAAATGTTGGATCCACAAGAGCAAACACCTCACCTCGGCTATCTCCAGCAAGATACTGCAGGGATGGTAACACTAATTCTGCCCAGTTGGGAGCTGAGGAGAACCAGCTATTAAGGGTACTGGCTGGAGATGACTGCCAATCCAGGACTCGCTCTTCCAGCTACAGGAGGAACAAAAGAATCAAGTCACCCCAGGGATTCCAAAAGGATAGACAACTCAAGAGTAATAGGAAAGTCTGTCCAGAGTGATTTTCCAAAGTCACAAAGCCAGTCAGAAGCAAATCTATGTAGGGACCACAAGAGTTGCATCCCCCAAGCTGTGGCCTGGTTGCTTTTTTTTCCCCCTTTAAAGTTTCCTCCTTGTATCTCTGATTTCCCAGATACTCTTACCATAGGAAGACTAGCCTGTCCCTCCATGAGCAAGATCTCCAGTAGGAGAGAGAAGAAACTAGATGATATTTCATTGATTCCAAGGCAGGGCTTGAGGTCTTCAAGAGGCCTATGAGGAAGTAAAGATAAAAAGCAATTGCAAAGGGCATCATGGGCTGGTCACTAGATTGGTCCTAGTCCTCAGTGCTTCCCATAGCTCTCAAGGTGCTCCATCAAAGACCAAGAATGGTGCACAAGGGATTGATCTTAGCCACAAGGCCGAGAAGAACCAGAATTCCGCACCATAGGCAGCTCTAAGAATTAGAAGCAATAAATTCAGGAGAATATATCCAAATAAAATCAATTCATTAACATGTTCTTGTTTAACATGCATCCTGGGGGAGCCACTGTCTCTTTCTTACTCTTCTTTGATGGCAGAAATTGGCAGTGGGGATGGGGCCTGGGACAGGGGCGGGATTCCCTCTGGATTGCTCAGAGGTTCAGCTAGATCATCTATCTCAGATTTTATCATTTTCAGCTTCTTCTTCTTCTTCTCCTCTTTTTCTTTTGCCTTTTTTTTTAGGACAGCCAAGTCAAACAGAGCTGGTAAGGGAAAACAAGAGTGGAAGTTAAAAGAACAGTAGTCTCTACATCAGAAAATAAGGTTCCTTATCTGAAAGTGATATGTAGTGTGAGGAAAATAAGTCAGAGAAGGCAGACCTTTAGATTCTAACCACTAGAGGTTAGAAGTCTAGCTTTAACACTTACAGAAGTCCATTAGAATACAGTTTTCTTTAAAGCTATATGAAGTTTCTCCTGCTCCCTCCAACTTCTAGTCCCTTCCCCTTCAAAATTACATTGTGCATTTTGTACATAACTATATAAGTACATATTACGTCTTAGAATGGAACGTGAGTTTCTTGAGCCCAGAGACCATTTCCCTTCCATCTATCTCCTCAGTGTCTAGCACAGTGCATGACAATAGATACTAAATAATGGATTGTATTACTCACCAGTCATATTAATTCTGCATTAACTTTTAATATACCTATTTAAACCTAAGGAGGAAGCTGCAAGTTTATTTTTATAGAGGTTTATTAGGCTTTGTGCTATTTAACACTTTAGAAGCACATATTTTCACTCTGGCAGTTCAATCACATTATGAAAACTCCAGAAGAAATACAGTCATTTACCTGCAAGAGAGCCCTTCCTGCCAGCATTCACTCGTGTCATGATGTCATTAAGAGTCAAGTCCCCTGTTAAAAGGTCTGGGTGATCCTGGATGAGAATTGTAAAGACTCAGTGATGGTGGCCAAGAGGGAGTTGAATAGACTAAATTTTCACCAACCCATTCAACAGATGACATTAGTCCTTAGCTAAATTTCAGAAAATCATGTCTACTCTGTGATTAGAACCTCTAGTCTTAAAGGAGGTACACAGGACAATCAAATTAGGATGGACAAGATCTTATATTATAAGCTGCCTAGAAGTAGCTAGGTGGCACAGAGGTTAGAGCTCTGGGCCTGGAGTCAGGAAGATCTGAGTTCAAATCCAGCCTCACACACTGTGTGACCCTGAGCAAGTAATTTAACCTTTGCCTGGCACAGTTTCCACATCTATAAAATTGGGGATCACAGTAACACATACCTCCCAGGGCTATTGTGAGGATTAAATAAGATAAAACCTGAAAAGTACATAGGGACTCAATATTTCCTTCCTTATTTCCTTCCTTCCTTCCTGTTACTAGGGCAATGAAGACATATGAAAAGAATTGCCTCTCACACTTCTATACTTTCTCTGACTCGTTTGCTATCTCATACATTTTCTGTCAATGAACTATTTCTAGCTATTCCCTTTTACCCAATGCTCCTCTAACAATCAAAATAAAGATATAAAGAAATGGAAACTTCTAGAACTGTGCTCTCTGTAGGAATTCATGTCCCCAGATATTAAACTGACAATCACAGATAATGTCTTACGGGTTGGTGTTTCCGCTTCTCATGGTGTTTCTTTAACATCATCTTCAGATCGTTGTCTCCCAGCTCTAGTTTATCTGAGCAAAATGAACCAAACCACATTGGGCACTTCACTAACAGAATGCTCAAATTTTAAATGCTAATGAGCTGTTAAGCTGTACTATTTGAAATCTAACATCCAAAAAACGGAAAGACAAAACATAAAACATTGGGTAAATTAATTCTTAACCCAAAAGCAAACAGATGAGATTAGATCCATAGCTTGCACCACATACCACAACATACTTCAAATGGATCAATGATCAATTGTTTCTTATATAATTAACAAAACAAAAGAAAATGAAATACCTACCGTAGTCATAGAAAGGAGGAAGGCACTTATTTAGGCAATTAAAAAGAATAATAAGACACAAAACAGGTTTATTTGATTATATAAAGGATTTTCTGCACGACGCACAGTAATTCATCCAAAATAAAAAGGAAAGAAAGAGATTAGGAAAAAATCTTTGCTATAAATATCTTTTTAAAAATCTGACATCCAAAACTATTAAAGAATTATAAAAATGAGTAAAAGCCATTCCCCAAGAGATGAGAGATTAAAGATGAATAGACAAAACTTGAAAAATAAATTATCAAATAACCATCTGAAAAAAATTTCAGATTCAAATAATCAGATAAATGAAAACTAAAACAACTCTTAAGATATGGCCTTACACTCATTAAATGGTGAGGTTATGGAAAAATGTGAATACTATTACACTGCTACTGGAACTGTAAATTGGTACACTCTTTTTGAAAAGGAGTATGTCATAAAATAGCACCTAGGTGTTAATGTTCTTTAACCAAGGACCTTATTACCAGAACTATATCTTATGAACATTATTGTCAAGAAAAATCTCTAAGTCCAAAAATATTCATAACATAGATATCAAACATAATGATTAGTTACCAACTTATTAAAAATTAATGTAGACTTATAAAAACTCTAAGTGGAAAAAGTTTGTAGTTCAAGTGTAATCTTTTGTCCTAACTGATGGCTACTAAGTTTGTGATTATTAAAACATTTCTTCAATCAAAATATTAATAATAGCATAATTTCTAATAATAAAAATGTGGAAATAACCACATAATTTCCAACATTAAGCAATGGCTAAACAAATTGTGATAACTAAAACATAATGCAACATGATTACACTATAAGAAATGACAGAGAATACAAAGAAATCTGCAAAGTTACATATAAAGTGAAAAAAATCGAATCAGAATATTAACATATACATTGATTACAACTGCAAAAATAATAACAGCATCAACAAAATAAAAAATACCCAGAAGAAAAATTCAGATGTGCATACAAAAACCAACAGAACACTTTATCATTATTTCTTTTACTAAGCATATTAAACATTTTTTTTAAAAACTGAAAGGAGTTTATGGTTTCTCAGAAAAAGGATTTTTCATTCTTGTTCACATATTACTAATGGCTACTAAATTTAGAATGAATGAATGAATGAACAAACACAGGGTAAATAATAATCACTCTGTATTTTGTCTAGTCAGACAACACTTGGTGTGATAAGCACAGTACTACACACTGAATTTTAACAAAAAGTATAAAGCTGAAGTATACTGCAAGAAACATGACCAGTATTGTGATAATATTGTGAAGAATCTGGAAGGTCATATAATCATGAATATTATCATTTTGAATAGCTGAAGGAATTAGAGAGGTCTAACCTGGGAAAAAGAAGGCTTAGGGATAGATATAATCATGGTCTTTAAAAACATGAAGCATTATCACTCATAAGAGGGACTATTTTTATTCTATATGTAGATCCAGAAGACAATACTAGGACAAGGTGGAAAAAAGTTACAGGTAGATAGTTTTAAGTTCAATACAAGGAAAAAACTAATAATTACAGGTTTTCATTAATGGAAAGGGTTGGCTTATGAGACTGAGCATCCTCTTTATCAATCAAGTATTCAAGTAGAGACTATATGACCACCTGTGAGGGACACTGAACATAACTACAATGCTTGGCATATGGTAGGCCCTTAATAGATAAATGTTGATAATGTGAAGAGAATTTCTATAGTAGGTGCAAGATTGATTTAATGAATCTGAAGGGCTCTTTAGACTCTAAGATTCTATAAAAATGTTTCTGGAGTGTCTTTCCTCATGTCTGCATAATTTAGCAAAAATCTTACATTCAGAGGAACAACATTTCAACTTCATGGCTCAATATCAGTAACCTTAGATTTGTTGGCCCCAAAAGCAACTGGACAATGCTTCCTAAAATGTTCTGTATTTGCTTACTATGTCAAATAAAATTCATTTTTATTTTACATGTACCCTCAGGAATGGTTAAATGCATGACAATTATTTCTGCTACCCATAATTTTCAAAAGAGGAAAACACACACACACACACAAAGAGGAAATACAAATTGTTAATCACTTGAAAAAACTGGACAAAATCTAATAATCAGAAAAATACATATAACTGAGGTAATATATAAAAATAGTTCTAAATAATAAAATTCAATGTTGGCAATAAAGAAAGAATTGTTATTACACTGACGGAATTATCATGCAACCTTCTAGAACAGCAGTTTGGCAATATACAGTAAGCCGCAAAACAACTGTATTTTAAATCATTGCTCCCACTTTACTAGGAATGTATACCAACGGGAAAATATTTTAGCACAAAAATATTTATATATGTAATGCTGAAAAACAGGGAACAAACTATATATGCCCAATGAGTAGAAGATGGCTAGATAAACTATTGTATCTCAATGTCATGGTACTATAACTTTTTAAAATTACATATATAAAAGAAATATGGAAAGACAATGAGAAGCAATACAAGGCAAAGAATGCAGAATTAGAAGTACATATTGACTATGACTTCATAAAAAACATTATCAACCAAACTACAAGTACATTAACTAAAAAAGCATAAAGAAACAACAAATATGATACTAATTTACTCTTTTAGCAAAATGTAAAAAGTTAACATTTTATGACTTATTTGGGCTTTCATCATTTATTTTGTATCTGTCAAAATTACTTTTTAATAAAAATTATTTTTAAAAGAAAGATCTCTTGTTTATAATTAAACTATAGCTAAATTAAAACCCAAACCTTTTCCTTACTTTTTTTTAAAGGAATAGAAAAGCCTACTGACATTCAGATTTCATTAACCAAAGTATGATATCAGCTGATCGGCTACCATGGGTCAAAATAAAATGGTTAAATTCCACACCCAAAAATAATAAAATTGTACCAAACTCTCTTTCCCAAAGCTTCTATTTCACAAGGACAGTTTGCTATTACGAACCTTCCAGAGAAATAAATTCTTAGATCAATACAGATGTGAGGAGCTTACTTCCTAGAGTGCCAAGATATCATCACTGTTCTCACCTGCAGTTTTCATATCCAAGGTTGAAAGCGTGGGCACCACCCTCAGGGGCACCGCAGGACTAGGAGAACAGGCTGGAGAGCTCGGAAGCCATGAGCTGAGATCTTCAAAAGAAAATTGCTCTTGTAAATCCAACGTGGCTGAGGACTCCAATAAAGGAGATTGGGTAAATGGCCATTTGGGTTCAACAGGGCTAAAGGTTCAACATGGAGACCAGGGTTCCACCATTTCTTTCTGACCCTTCCCCAGATGGACTGGAGCACACTTAGATCATTTAAACGGCTCTTCGAGGAAGAGAGACTTCAATTCAACAGAGTGATGGAAGCTCACTGCAGCAGGCCAACAGCTACTACTACTCTCCTGTAAGGAGAAAAGCAGTTCTCTCAAGGGGCACAACAGGACCAGACAAGCAGGAAAGGACCCTGCCTTGCAGGGAGCTATCCATTGGGAACCTAAACTAAACTCAAAAGCTAACTCAAGTATAAAGTATAAAAGATGTAATTTTCCATCTAACAGGAATTTCCAGTAGTGTCCTAGAGATGGGAAGGGAGGTCCTCAAGTCCCATTACCCACCCACCAGAGAAGCAGTTTCTTACTACTATGTCTGGCTCCAAACTGCAAAACAGGCTGCCAGTTTTAAAAGTCCCACCTCAGTTTCCCAAAGAATAAGAAAATACTCACCTTCCTCATCAGAGGACAAGGTGCTATCTCCACATTCTTCCTTAACTTCCCGAAGAACCTTCAAGTAGCGCTGCTGAGTACGTCGTTCTCTTTCCTCTGGGGTACAGGATAGTGAAGGCCGTTTCCTCCGAAGGGGAAGGGCAGGGCCACTTGTCTTAGCCATCTCCAACAAGTCCTAGATAGAGAACACCATCTAGTGGGTACATAGTCTTAAAAATCTGCTTCATATTGGATAAGTTGACCATTTGTCAGGATCACCAGGGGATCCAAGATGCCAGACACAAGTTCTGGTCTCCTATTGGAGGCATGAGGTCATATCTCACTTCTTACACATGCTCATTTTAGAGGCTGGTAGGTGGTGCGGTAGATACAGTGCTGGCCTTGAAATTAATAGAGACCAGAGTTCAAAGCCTGAAATGCTTCTTATCTATGTGGCCCTGGGCAAGTCATTTAACCTCTTTCCATCTAAGTTTCCCCATCTGTAAAATGGGGATAACAATAGAACTTACCTCATAGGGTTATTGTGAGGATCAAATAAGATGTAGTGAGTAAATGCTTTGCAAACTTTAAAACTCTATATAATTGCCACCTATCATTATCAGCTATTATTCAAGCCATTCCAACTTCAGATAAACTATAACTCCCTTCAGACGGACAGGGCCATTACTTTTTAACACTATCCTTGATAGGAGCTAAATAACAAAGATTATTTCTGTTCTAATGTGAACTGAAATATTTTCCACAGCAAGAAATGTGAGCATCATTTAGAATCAAAACAACTTTGGCTCTAAGAAATGTCAAATGAAAATAAACTAACAGTCCATTTATTTGGGGGTTTCATATCTCTAACAATAGTGTTACGTGTTCAACCTTCATTCATACCAACCTCACAGTTTAGAAACATACCACTAAGGCATCCTGGTTTTCCTTAAAAAAGCTCCAATGGATCTGACACCCATTCATTTGACTCAAGCGTCCTGAAATCTACTTATAGTTGTCAGTCAGTAAACGTATATTAGGCACTGGGGTCACAAAGAGTCACACATGACTGAAAAACAACTAAACAACAATATGTCAGGCACTGTGCTAAGTGCTAGGGATACAAAGAAAGGCAAAAGACAGTCCTCAAATACTGAATAATCTCCCAGGAAAGATAACATACAAACAATTATACACAAACAAGCCAAAGACAAAATAAACTGGAAATAATCAACAGAGAGAAGGTACTAGAATTAAGAAGAACTGGAAAATTCTTCTGATAAAAGGTGGGATTTTAGCTAGGGCATGAAGAAAGCCAGGAGGCAGAGATGAGGTAAGAAGAACATGCCAGGCAGAGCAAACAGCTGATGAAAATGCTTGGACTGGAAAATAGGGTGTCATTCGAGAAACAGCAGGGAGGCTTACACTGGCTGTATTTAAGAGTATATGGGGGGGAGGGAGGAAAGGGCAGAGCCAAGATGGCAGAAAAAAGGCAGCAACTTGCCTGAGCTCTCCCCAAAACCCCTCTGAACACCTATAAATAATGCCATACAACAATTTCTATAGCAAAACCCATAAACAGATGGAGTGAAATAATTTTCCAGCCAAAGACAACTTAGAAGGTCAGAAGGAAAGGTCTGTTGCACCTGGGTGAGAATGAAGGACAGATCCAGCACCAGCAAACCACAAGCAGGCCATGGGAGCTAGAGAATTAGCAGTGGCAGCAGCTGCTTCCTCAGCTCTCAGCCCACATACAGTTAAGGGGGTCAAAAAACTAGTCAGAAGGAGATTATGGCAGTCTCTGCTAGCACTGAGGCAGGACTCCGCTGCTTTGCCTATACTTAGATTTGGGTCACAATCCTGGGTGGCAGTCCCAGGGTGAGGAGGAACACTAGTTTACCACAGCTTGGAGCCACAGTGGAGGAACTACCCTCCTCACAGGTCCAGGGCAGAAAAGAGTGCTTGTGGTCACTCACAGACCAGAGCACAGGCCAGGAGAGGAGTCAACACCTCTCCATAGATCATACCACCCTGAAAGAACTGAAAACTTACAGGTCTCTAAAAGTATCTCTGAAAACAGCTGCACAGAAATCCCTAAAGCTTGGGACAATGCACCCTCCCTCCTGGAAGCACAGCCCTACTTTAACAAAGAGTTAAAAATCAAAAGGCTAGGGAAATGAGCAAACAATGACAAGGAAAAAAAAGTGACTATACAAAGTTACCATGGTGACAAGGAAGATCAAAACACACACTCAGAAGAAAAGAAAGCCAAACTCCTACATCCAAAGTCTCCAAGAAAAAAGTGAATTGGTCTCAGGCCATGGAAATACTCAAAAAGGATTTTGAAAACCAAGTAAGAGAGGTAGAGGAAAAATTGGGAAGAAAAATGAGAGTGATGTAAGAAAATCAAGAAAAACGAGTCAAAAGCTTGGTAAAGGAGACACAAAAAAGTACTGAAGAAAATAACACCTTAAAAAATAGACTAGGGGCAGCTAGGTGGCGCGATGGATAGAGCACTGGCCCCGAAGTCAGGAGGACCTGAGTTCAAATCTGGTCTTAGACCAAACACTTGACACTTACTAGCTGTGTGACCCTGGGCAAGTCACTTAACCTCAACTGCATAAAAAAGAAAGAGAGAGAGAGAGAAAGAAAGAGAGAAAGAGATCTATTTCAAGAAAAGAGTTTTTGAGGCAGCCAGGTGGCGTAGTGCATAGAACTCCAGTCTTGGAGTCAGGAGGACCTGAGTCCAAATCCGACCTCAGACACTTGACACTTACTAGCTGTGTGACCCTGGGCAGGTTATTTAACTCCAAATGCCTCACCAAAAAAAAAAACCCAAAAAACCCAGACTAGGCCAAATGTTAAAAGAGGCACAAAAAGCCAATAAGAAAAAAGAATACCTTAAAAAGCAAAATTGGCCAAATGGAAAAAGAGACACAAAAATTCACTGAAGAAAAAAACTCCTTAAAAAGTAGAATTGGCCAAAAGGAAAAAGATAAAAAAGGTCACTGAAGAAAATTAAAAAATCAGAATTAAATAGAGGCTAATGACTTCATGAAAAATCAAGAAACAATAAAACAAAACCAAAAGAATGAAAAAATAGAACACAATGTGAAAAATCTCATTGGAAAAATAAGCGACCTGGAAAACAGATCCAGGAGAGATCATTTAAAATTTATCAGACCAGGGGCAGCTAGGTGGCACAGCGGATAGAGCATCTGCCCTGGATTCAGGAGGATCTGAGCTCAAATCCAGCCTCAGACCAAACACTTGACACTTACTAGCTGTGTGACCCTATGCAAGTCACTTAACCCCAACTGCCTTTAAAAATAAAAAATTATTGGACCACCTGAAAGCCAAGATGAAAAAAGAACCTAGACATCATCTTCCAAGAATTTATCAAGGAAAACTGCCCTGATATTCTAGAACCAAAGGGTGAAATAGAAATTGAAAGAATCCACCAATCACCCCCTGAAAGAAATCCAAAATGCAAACTCCCAGGAACATTACAGCCAAATTCCAGAGCCCCCCCACGTAAAGGAGAAAATATTGCAAGCAGCCAGAAAGAAACAATTCAAATATCATGAAGCCACAGTCAGGAAAAACAAAATTTGGCAGCTTCTACATTAAAGGCTGAGAACATGATATTCCAAGGGGCAACCAAGAATCACCTACCCAGAAAAACTGAGTATAATCCTTCAGTGGAAAAAATGAATATTCAATGGAATACAGGACTTTCAAGCATTCTTGATGAAAAGACCAGAGCTGAATAGAAAATTTGGCTTGCAAATATAAGACTCAAGAGAAACATAAAAAGATAAACAGGAGAGGGAAATCATAAGGGACCTAAAAAGGTTAAAACTGTTGACATTACCACATGGGAAGATGATATTTATAACTCATAAGAACTTTCTCAATATTAGGGTAGTTAGAAGAATATATATAGAGGGCACAGGTGAGCTGAATATGAAGGGATGATACCTAAAAAAATAAAATTAAGGGGTGAGAGAGGAATGTACTAAGAGAAAGAAGGGAGAGCTAGAATAGCGTAAATTATCTCATGTAAAAGAGGCAAGAAAAAGCTTTTACAGCGTAGGGGATGACGGGGGAGGTGACAGAGAGTGAGTGAACCTCACTCTCATCAGAATTGGGAATAAGATGCTCAAAGAGGCAATAACATACACATTCAATTGAGTACAGAAATCTATCTTACCCTACAGAAAAGTAGGAGGGGAAGGGAATAAGAGAAGGCGGTGGGAGGTAATAGAAGAGAGCAGATTGGGGGAGGTGGTAATCAGAGGCAAAACACTTTTGAGGAGGGACAAGGTGAAAGGAGAGAGAGAATAGAATAAACAAGGCTGGGGAGGGGGGAGAATAGGGCAGAAGGACATACAATTAGCAATAGTAACTGTAAAAAAAATTTGAAGCAAGTTTCTCTGAGAAAGGCCTCATTTCTCAAACATATAAAGAACTGAGTCAAATTTTTAAAAAATAAGTGCCATTCCCCAATTGATAAATGATCAAAAGATATGAACAGTTTTCAGATGAAGTAATCAAAGCTAGGTATGACCACATGAAAAAAAATGCTCTTACTCATATTGACTGGAGAAATACAAATTAAAACAATTCTGAGGTACTACCTCATATCTATTAGATTAGCTAATTGGACAGAAAAGGAAAATGACAAATGTTGGAGGGATACAGGAAAAATGAGACATTAACACAGTACTGGTGGAGTTGTGAACCAATTCAACCATTCCATAGAGCAATTTGGAACTATACCCAAAGGGCTATAAAATTAGGCATACATCCTTTGACCTAGCAATACCACTACTAGGTCTGTATCCTAAAAGAAATAAAAAACAGAAAAGGAAAAGGACCTATATATACAAAAACATTTATAGCAGCTCTTTTCTGGTGGCAAAGAACTGGAAAGAGGATGCCCATCAATTGGGGAATGGTTGAACAAATTGTGGTATGTGATTATGATGGAATACTATTGTGCTATAAGAAATGATCAACAGGATGCTCTCAGAAAAACCTAGAAAGACTTACATGAGCTGATACAAAGTGAAATATACTGTGTACAAAGTAACAGCAATATTGTAAGATGATCAGCTGTGAATGACTTAGCTATTCTCAGTAATACAATTATCCAAGACAACCCTGAAGGACTTAAGATGAAAAATGCTATCCATCCCCAGAGAAATAACTAATGGTGTCTGAATACAGATTGAAGCATAGTTTTTTAACTTCTTTTATTTTTCTTGAGGTTTTTTAGGGAGGAGAGGGTCTATGTTTTCTTTCACAACATGATTAATATGGAAATGTTTTGCAAGACTACACATGTATAACCTATAACAAATTGCCTGCCTTCTCAATGGGGGAGGGAGGAGGAAGGGAAGAAGGAAGAGAATTTTGAACTCAAAGTTTTAAAAATAAATGTCAAAAATTGTTCTTACAAGTAATGGGGGGAAAAAATACTAAGTTAAAAAAGAGTATATGGAAGGATATAAGGTGTAAGAAGACTTGGGGTGGGGGAGATAGGGTGTTAGTTATGAAGGGCTTTGAATGCCAAAAAGGATTTGATATTTGATCCTAGAGATGACAGTGAGCCACTGGAGTTTGTTGAGTAGGGGGGACAGGAGGGAAAGGGAGGTGTGACATGATCAAACCTGTGTTTAGGAAACTCAATCTGACAGCTGAGTGCAGAATGGACGAGTGGGGAGAGACTTGAGGCAGGGAGACTAACATATTGCAGGCTAGCCATGACATGAGAAGGCTTGCATCTAGGTGGTGGCAGTGTCAGAGGAGAAAAGGAGGTGTATGTGAGGTCTATTATGAAGGTAAAATCAACAGGACTTGGCAACAAATCACATATGGGAGTTGAGAGATAACAAATCAAGGATGACAACTAGATTCCAAGTCTGGGTGACTGGAAAAATGTGGTGCCCTTGACAGAAATAGGGACGTTTGGAAGGGTAGAGGATTTAGAGGAAAACATAATGAATTCAGCTCTAGACATGTTGAGTTTAAGCTGTCAAGAAGACATCCAGTTCAAGATGTCTAGTAGGCTGCTGGAAATGCAAGACTGAAGATCAGCACTGAAGCTAGAGCTGGACAAATAGGTTTGAGAATCACTGGCAGAGAAACAACTGAATCCATGAAAGCTGATGAGATCACTAGGTGAAATAGTATAGAGGAAGAGAAGTGGACTTAGGACAGAGTCCTGGGGGATACCCATATTAGCGGCTGTGACCTGGATAAAGATCCAGTAAAGACAGAGAAGGAGCCATCAGATAGGTAGGAGGAGAACCAGGAGGGATTGGGTAGTATCATAAAAACCTAGACAGAAGGGAGTATCAAGGAAAAGAGAGTGACTGATAGATACTGTCAAAGGCTGCAGAGAGGTCAAGAAGGTTATAGAGATTAAAGGCAAATTAGTTTTGGCAAATAAGAGATCATTAGTAACTCAGGAAAGAGCAGTCTTGATCGAATGATAAAATCCAAAGCCAAAACAAGTGGAGGCAGATGGACTTTGCAGATAGTTTTCTCAAAGAATTTAGTCACATGGAGCAATAAATAGCAGGAATGGAAGGATCAAGTGGGGTTTTTTGAGGATGGGGATCTAATAGGGGGATGGGCGGTAGGTAACGAACCAGTAGACAGGGAGAATGAGAAAAGTGAGAAAGTGGAGATGGAGAAGACAGGGTGGAAAGAGATCACAAGTGCATGATGAGGGGTTAGCCTGGGTGAAGAAGGGCCCCTCTTTATGAGAAACAGTTAAAGGAGGAGAAAGTGACAGAAGACATATGAGTGATATAAGAAAGAAAAAGTGGTAGCTCTCAGCCAACAGCTTCAATTTTTTTCTGTAAAATACAAGCTGAGAAGATGAAGAAAGAAGAGATAATGAAGGCTTAAAGAGGGATGCAAAGTTCTGGAAGAGCTGCTGTGGTTGAGTGGGATAGTGAGTCAATTAGGGAGGGATAAAAGGATTGTCAAACAGCAATGAGGGCCTAGTTGAGGTTATGTAACAAAAATTTGTAGTGGATTCAGTCAGCAGAGTTTCATGATTTTCTCAAACTTCATTCAACAGCACATGAAAAAAGCACTGAAGGCAGTAGATGGTTGAAATGAGGCTTAGCAGGGAAAAACTGGCCATAAGATAAAGAACTCAGTAACTTAAGAGAAGAGGACAACATAGAGTTGAACTAGTTCACCAAGGAGTCAAGATGAAGAAAGGAGGACAGTGTAGCTAGTGCACGAGTGATAACCTAGGAGACAACCTAGAGGCTGAGGGATATGGAGGTCACAGTGAGGAAAAACATTGTTTGGGGTTAGGAGACAGGAGAGTTAGAATGACAACAGATAGTAATCAGATAAGGAAATTTCAGATTTTATTAACTTAGAAGTGGTGCCATTTGTGGGTGATGTCGCAAGATCAAGGGTATGACCATTTTTATGTGTGGCTGAGGTCAGGTGGATGAGATCATATAAGCTACGACTGGAGTGATGAATTCTCTAAGTTTACTACCTCCTATGTTGTCACTGTTGAGTCATTTCAGTCATGTCCAACTCTCCATGACCCCATTGAGGGTTTTCTTGGCAAAGATACTGAAGTGGTTTGCCATCTCCTTCTCCATCTCATTTTACAGATGAGGAACTGAGGCAAACATGGTTAAGTGACTTGCCTAGGGTCACATAGCTAATAAGGGTCTGAGGCCAGATTTGAACTCAGGAAGATAAGCACTCTATCCTCCACACCACCTAGCTGCCCCTACCTACTATAATATAAAGAGTAGAATAGTATTAACCTGACTCATTCACTAAATCCCAGATTTTAGAACTTTATAACCTAGAATATAAATATTTATACCTACAATATAAATAATTCCTTTTGTTAGTCCCAAATTTGCCTCTTTTAATGAGTATAAACACAGCAAAGTTCTAAAATCTGGAATTTAGTGAACAAGTCAGGTTAACACAGTTTCTTATTCTATGCAAGTATTCAAACATTTCAACATATTAAAACTTCCTACATTAGTACAGTTCTAAGATGCACATATTTACTATCATAAGTATTTAGAATACAGATATAGCACCAAGATAGCTGCTACAAAATTAGCATTCAGTGAGGGGAATATATTCCAAAGGACTTTCTTTCTTCACTCTCCTCTTGGCTCCCCATGACACTCACGGTGCGTGAGGCGAGAATCTGTTTCAGCAGCCGATGGAAATACTGCTGCTGAGAGTTGAGGTAGCGCTTGTACTGAGACTTGAAGCACAGCTGCCGGTACTTCACCACTTCTGGGTTAAAGTGCCCATCTAGGGAACAACAGGAGAAGGGAACAACAATGAGAACTGAGCTACAGAGCAGAGACTGATGGCATACAGTAACAAGGTACTGTCCTGTATTCTGCCACCTCCACATAAGAGAGCAGAAGAAGACTTGATCTTCAGGTCAGGAGCCAGGGGCACTTAATACTCATCTGAAACATCAACTCTCCTTTGATGTTCTTGTCCCTCATACTCCTTGGTCACTCCTGCTTTCTGACAAACACTCACCACTCAGCCACTCCAGTGTTCCCCAGCCCTGGGAACTAACACTTACTTTTACTTTTACTTTTACTCCGTCTTTACTATTCCAACAGAGAAGCAAGGAGCAATGGATCTGGTGTTGGAGGACCTGGAATCACTTGAATTCGGGTTCTATTTACAACATGTATGTCCCTGAGCAAGTCAATGAACCTCTCTAGGCCTGTTTCCCTAGACTCAATGGCCTCAGAGGAGCCGGGTCAATTTTAAATCTGGTATCCTACCAGTTATTCCAATAACCTTCAATTTCAACCTAGTTGTTCTCTATGGTTTGTCATTGCCTATACCTTTTAAGGCCTTTATTTGTGAGATCAGCCACACCTACCCATCCACAGATCTCAGGACTTTGGGAAATCACAAATGGTCTACAACCCAAAGATTGGGGAGAGCAGAAACAGGAAAACAATTTATACAATGACAAAAATATTGTTACCATAAATCTTCCTTATGTTGCCCACAAAAACTCATCCAGCCTTTGTTTAAACATTTTAAGTGATGGGTACCTATCTTATCTCATTCCATTTTGGGAAACTCTAATATTAAGAAAAACAATAGCCAATAGGCACTGAGGGCCCAATTCAAACCCTACTAGCAGTGGTTTGTCTCTCTTTAAAGATTCCAAGCTTCGAACAACAGCTTGGAAGAGAATCCCTTTCCACTCAAAAGTGATGACAAGTGAGGTCAAGAGGAAGAAAAAAAAGTATCACATTTATGTCCTGGCCATAGGTAACAAGAGGTTTGAATCTAATGAATCTGTTTCCTTTACAAATCAAGGCAGCCACATAACAGAGCTTACAAGGGCTGGACAAGATTGTTTATCTGTGTGTCATCATGAAAGCAAACCAATTACCTATTAATATAAGTGGGAGAGAAAGTACCTTCCTCAATTTTCATCCCGAAAGCAAGTAATAAACCACTGATTTAGAGAAATCAAAAGCTTGAGAATTCTATGACACACATTCTCTTTGTTCCCATTTCTTTTTTTTCGTTTGTTTGTTTTGGTGAGGCAATGGGGTTAAGTGACTTGCCTGGGGTCACAAGGCTAGTAAGTGTCAAGTGTCTAAGTTCCGATTTGAACTCAGGTCCTCTTAACTCCAAGGCTGAAGCTCTATTCACTGCACCATCTAGATGCCCCATGTTCCTGTCTTTGTTGCACAAATGCGTGTGATAGCCAGACCAAAGATAACAGAAGATTCCACAGGAGTAAAACATGCAAAAAAAAAATGGCTATTTAGCTACAGACCTCGGAAGAGTTTTTGGGCAATGTGCAATGGGTTCCCAAAACGAAAGTTTTCCCCACTGAATAGGGCTAGAATAAGCTGATTTTGTTGCTCGATGTTATCTTCAGGGAAGTGAGGCAGGAACCGCTGGAGGTGCTCACGCTGAGAGTCACTCAGCACATCCTGCCATGTTGAGAGGCTAACTACATCAAAGAATATCTCAGGCTGGAAGGGAAAAAGAACAAGGGGAAAAAAGTCAGCAATAGGAACATCAGTTTTATTTTTACAATCCTAAGACCTTTGTTCAAGTGTACATTCTCAGAACTGAACAGTGTGACCAAAAACAATGTTTTCTATTTGGCAAATGGCAAAGGTGTGGCAGAGAGAAACCTGGCTGACAATAAAAGAAGAACTAGGGAGCAGAAATGGAGAATTTATTCAATACATTCAAGCAAAACAGAAACAAAAAAGATTTATCAGATATTTCATTAGCAAGACACTGCACTATGTATGCAGTAAATACAAAGATAAATAAGAAAAAGTCCTTGCTTTCATAACACATAAAAACTAGTTGTAAGATAAGACACATAAACAAATAATTATAATTCAGGACATGTGACATGGGTCATAAAATATCTAAAAAGAGAACAGAGAAGGAAGACTTATTGACTAAGGAGATTAAGGAATGTGACATTAAAAAATATCACCTTTTAAACTGGGCCTGGAAAGATAAAAATTTTGACAAATGGAGGATAGGAAGAGATGAGAAAGTAAAAAGGGTATATTTAAGATAATGCAAACAGTTCAGTCTGGGAGCAGTGGAAGGCTGGAAAGAATGACTGGGGCCAGTCCAAAGAAGGCCTTGAATAACAGATTAAGGTACTAAAGCTTTATTTAGTAGGAGACAAAGACCCACTGAAGACTTTCAAGCACAGAAGTGACAGGATCAGAGCTATGCTTTATGAATATGAATGAACTGAAACAATTTATTAAGGGAGCAGAGCCAAGATGGCGGACTAAAAGCAGTAACTTGCTTGAGCTCTCCCCCAAACCCCTCCAAATACCTGTAAAAAATGGCTCTAAATAAATTCTAGAGCAGCAGAACCCACAAAAGGACAGAGTGAAACAAATTTTCGGCCCAAGACAACATGGATGACTGAGGCAGGGAGTGGAGTGCAGTTCACCATGGAATGCACAGGCAAAGAAAGAGTCTCACCTGGAGCAGGCCTCAGGGGACTGAATCACTAACAGCTGTAGTGGGTTCCAGACTTCTCAACCCACAAACGACAAAGACAACTTAACAGGTCAGTAGGAAAGGTCTGTCAGACCTGAGTGAGAGAGGAGTCCACTCTGGCCCCAGTCCTGGCAGCCCTCGGGGCAAAAGCTGCTTCCAAAGCTCTCGACCCACAGATGGTGGAGTGATCTAACAGCTGATCAGAGGGAGATTGCAGGGATCTCTTTGCTGGTGCTGAGGCAGGATTCTCTTGCTTTGCCCATGTTTGGATCTGAGTCGAGGTTCTGAGTAATGATCCTGGGGCAAGGAGGAGTGCTGGCGTGGTGAAGCTCGTGGTGGTGGTAAAGAGAGAATCCTCCTCACAGTTCCAAGGCAGAAAAGAGTGCTTGTGGTCACTCACAGACTAGAGCACAGGCCAGGAAAGGAGTAAATACCTCACCCCTTATCATACCAACTTGGAAGAACTGAAAATTTATAGGTCCCTAGAAGTATCTCTGAAGATAGCTGTATAAAACCCCTAAAGCTTAGGACCCTACATTCTCCACACTGGAAGCAGATCCCTATCTTAACAAAGATTTTAAAGTCAAGTAATTGGCTTGCAACATGAGCAAACAGCACAAAAAAACTCAGATCACAGAATCTTCATTTGGTGACAAAGAAGATCAAAACATACAACCAGAAGACAACAAAGTAAAAGCTTCCACATCCAAAGCCTCCAAGAAAAATATGAATCAGTCCCAGGCCATGGAAGAACTCAAAAAGGATTTTGAGAAGCAAGTAAGAGAAGCAGAGGAAAAATTAGGAAGACAAATGAGAGTGATGCAAGAAAATCATGAAAAACAAGTCAATAGCTTGCTAAAGGAGACCCAAAAAAACACTGAAGAAAATAACACCTTAAAAAAAGACCAACCCAAATGGCAAATGAGGTCAAAAAAGCCAATGAGAAGAATGCTTTAAAAAATAGAATTAGAGGGCAGCTAGAGGCACAGTGGATAAAGCTCCAGCCTTGGAGTCAGGAGGACCTGAGTTCAAATCTGGCCTCAGATACTTGACACTTACTAGCTGTGTGACCCTGAGCAAGTCACTTAACCTCAACTGCCTCACCAAAAAGCGCCCCCCTCCCAAAAACAGCAGAATTGGCTAAATGGAAAAGGAAGTCCAAAAGCTCACTGAAGAAAATAATTCCTTAAAAATTAGAATGGAGCAAATGGACGCTAATCATTCTATGAGAAATCAACAAATTACAAAACAAAACCAAAAGAATGAAAAAATAGACCACATCCAAAAAAAACTAGGAGGTTGAATGCAGATCAAAGCATACTATTCATTATTTTTTTTTCTTCTCTTGTGTTTTGTTTCCTCTTTCTGGTAGTTCCTCCTACTGGTTCTAATTCTTACAATATCATTAATGTGAAAATATGTTTAATAAGAATGTATATGTATGTATATATATATATATATATATCTATATATATATATATATATATGTGTACATGTATATGTATATGTATAGCCTATACTGCGTGCTGTCTTGGGGAGAGAAGAGGGAAGGGAAGGGGAGAAAAATTTAAAACTCAAAAGCTTAAGGAAGTGATTGTTGATAAATCAAAATAAATTAATAAAGTTAAAAATTTTTTTAAAAGAATGAAAAAATAGAAAACAATGTGAAATATCTCACTGGAAAAACAACTGACCTGGAAAACAGATCCAGGAAAGATCATTTAAAAATTATTAGATTACCTGAAAGATAAAAAAAAATAAAGAACCTAGAAATCACCTTTCAAGAAATTATCAAGGAAAATTTTAGAACCAGAGGGTAAAACAGAAATGCAAAGAATCCACCGATCACCTCCTGAAAAAGATTCCAAAAGGAAAACTCCCAGGAATATTACAGCCAAATTCCAGAGTTCTCAGGTCAAGGAGAAATACTGCAAGCAGCTGGAAAGAAACAATATCAGGATAACACAAGATTTCACAGCTTCTCTGTTAAAGGATCAGAGGGCTTGGAATATGATATTCCACAAGTCAAAGGAGCTAAGATTACAACCAAGAATCACCTACCCAGCAAAACTGAGTATAACCCTTCAAGGGTAAAAAAATGGATATTCAATGAAACAGAGGACTTCGAAGCATTCTTGATGAAAAGACCAGAGCTGAATAGAAATTCTGACTTTCAAATACAAGACTCAAGAAACTAGGTAGGCATAGACCAAAATCTCACACCATATACCAAAATAAAGTCAAAATGGGTTCATGATTTAAATATAAAGGCTGATACTTTAAGCAAACTGGGAGAGCAAAGAATAGTTTACCTATAAGATTTATGGAGAACAGAAGAATTCATGACCAAACAGGAAACAGAGAACATCACAAAATGCAAAATGGATAATTTTGATTATATTAAACTGAAAAGTTTTTGCACAAACAAAGCCAATGCAACCAAGATTAGAAGGAAAGTAGAAAATCGGGAAAAAACTTTATAATCAGTGTCTCCGATAAGGGCCTCATCTCTAAAATATATAGAGAATTAAGTCAAATTTATAAGAATACAAGTCATACAACAATACATTCCCCAATTGATAAATGGTCAAAGGATATGAATAGGCAGTTCTCAGATGAAGAAATTAAAGCCATCTATAGTCACATGAAAAAATGCTCTAGATCACTATTGATTAGAGAAATGCAAATCAAAACAACTCTGAGGTACCACATCACACCTATCAGACTCACCAACATGACAAAACAGTAAAATGATAAATGTTGGAGAAGATGTGAGAAAATTGGAACATTAATGCATTTATGTTGCATTATACGTTGGTGGAGCTGTGAAATGATCCAACCATTTTAGAGAGCAATTTGGAACTATGCCCAAAGAGCTATAAAAATGTGCATACCCGTTTGACCCAGAAATAGCACTGCTAGGGCTGTATCCCAAAGAGATCATTAAAATGAGAAAAGGACTCACATGTACAAAAATACTTATAGCAACCCTTTTTGTGGTAGCAGAGAATTGGAAATTAAAAGATGCCCAACAATTGGGGAATGGCTGAACAAGTTGTGGTATATGAATGTAATGGAATACTATTGTGCTATAAGAAATGATGAGCTGGCAGACTTCAGAAAAACCTGGAAAGACTCGTATGGACTGATGCTGAGTGAAGTGAGCAAAACCAAGAGAATGTTGCACACAGTAACAGCCATGTTGTGCAATGACTATCGTTGACAGACTTAACCCTTCTCAGCAATGCAAGGATCTAAGACATCTCCAAAGGTCTCATGATGGAAAACACTATCCACATCCAAAGAAAGAACTATGCCATTTGAATGCAGATGGAATCATATTATTTGCTATTTTTTCCTTTTGTTTTGTCTTGTTTTCTCTTTCTTGTGATTCCTTCTATTGGTTCTAATTCTTCCTTACAACATTACTAATGAGAAAATATGTTTAATAGCCTATTATCAGATTGCACACCATCTTGGGGAGGGAGGGGGAGAAAAATTTTAAACTTTTTCAAAAGCTTATGGAAGTCATTGCTGATAAATCAAAATAAATTAATTTTAAAAAAAGAGAAGCATGAGAAGGTAAACAAGAAAGAGAAATCACAGGGGACTTATTAAAGTTGAACTATTTACATTCCTACACAGAAAGATAATATTTGCAACTCATGAGACCTTTCTCAGTACTACAGTAGTTGGAAGGGAAAAACACACACACACACACACACACACACACACACACACACACACAGAGGAGAGAGAGAGAACGCACACAGGATGAATTGAAGATGAAGGGATGATATCTAAAAAATAAAATTAAGGGGTAAGAGAAGATTGTACTGAGAGAAGGAGAAAGAGAGAGGTAGAATGGGGTAAATTATCTCCCATAAAACAGACAAGAAAAAGCTTTTACAGTGGAGGGGAAGTAGGGGGAGGTAAGAGGCAATGAGTGAATCTTACTCTCATCAGATATGGCTTAAGGGGGGGAATAACATACACACTCAATTGGGTATGGAAATCTATCTCACCCTACAGGAAAACAGAGGGGAAGACGGTAAAGGGGGGGAGGGGTGATGATAAAAGGGAGGACAGACTGGGGGAGGGGGTAATCAGAAGCAAACACTTTCGAGGAGGGACAGGGTCAAAGAAGAGAACAGAATATATGGGAGGGTGGGATAGGATGAAGGGAAATATAGTTAGTTTTTCACAACATGACCATTATGGAAGTGTTTTGCATGACTACACATGTATAACCTGTATCGAGTTGCTTGCCTTCTCAATGAAGATGGCTGAGGAGGGAAGAAGGGAGGCAATTTGGAATCCAAAGTTTTAAAAACAAATGTTAAAAATTGTTTTTACATGGAACTTGGAAATAAGATATACAGGCAATGAGATATAGAAATCTATCCTGCCCTATAGGAAAATAGAAAGGGAAGGGGATAACAGAAGGTGGGGGGTTGGGAAAAGGAAGAGGATGAGAGGGAGGTGATAGAAGGGAGGTCAGACTGGGAGAAGAAGTGGGGAAAGGGGTATTCAGAATGCATGCCATCTTGGGGTGGGGGGACAGGAGAGATGGAAAGAAAATTTGGAACTCAAAATCTTGTAGAAGTAAATGTTGAAAACTAAAAATAAATTAACTTTGAAAAAAAACAATTTATTAAGCATTTACTAGGTACAAATCAATGCTAACCACTGGAGATACAAACAGAAAGGTAGTCCCTGATCTCAAAGAAGGACATTCCAACAGGGTAAACAACACATACAAGTGGTTTCAGATGGAAAGGATCAGTAGTTTTTGGATACAATGGCAAAAGAGATGGTAATGCAGCATCTTTAATATTATTGTCATTAATAAAACCATATCTGTTTCTGATGTGGTACCATCTGAAAATGCCATGTACTTTGGTTAATAACTTTCTACTTTGAACTTTCAATAGCTGCCGAGAATGGGGACACTGAAGCACCTTCAGAGGTAGCTAACAGGTAGCATCTCCCCTGAATGATGGCTGTGGGGGCCATGCTAAAAGTAGAGTTTGGTGGCCTTGGCGAGAGGGGAGTGAGAAGAGAAACAACAACTATTCCTAAACCTCTTGGGTTTACTGGCCTGTCAGCGGTTGTAGGGATAACAGAGCTGGTCCTATTTACCGAGAATGTTCTCAATGACAATAGCTATGGGGGCTGGTTTGGAGGCAGGACCAGGAGGTCTTAAGAGTACTACAGTTTTTGAGTGTCTTGGTCCTGAGCTGTCTCAGAGAAGCAGCACTAGTTGAGTTAGTGGCCATGGTCTGACCTTCATTGAACATGCTATTTCCTGTCTCTCTCAGAATGTCTTGATGTTTCAACTAGGCCGGTTTGTCTGCCCCATCAGTAGCAAGTAGGTCATGTTCACGGTAGGGTAAAGGTTTCTTAGCCACCAGGTTTGCTCGATTGGATAACAGCTGCTAGGCCAGACCGGAAGCAGTATGAAATATGGGAATTATAAGAGTTAGAGTAAAGGTGAAAAGATCAATTAGGAGGCTACTGCAATAGCTGAAGTAAAAGATGATGAGCACCCAAAACTTGACAGTGACAGAGAGAATGTGAAATAAGTGACAGATGAAAAACTTATTTTAGACATAGAATAAAAAGGATTTGCTGACTAACTGGATGTGCGAGTGAAAGAAAAGTGATCAAAGATGCCCCCAAAGCACATTCTTGTCCATGACATAAATTGAACCAATCTTATGGAAAGCGATTTGGAACTACACTCCAAAAGTCACTAAACTGTGCATACTCTTTGTCCCAGCAATATCACCAGTAGTTATATAGCCCAAAGAGATCAAAGAAAGGGGAAAAAACCCACATATGCAAAAATATTCAGAGTAGCAATTTTTTTGTAGCAAACAAACGGAAACTTAAAAGGTACCCATCAACAGGGAAATGATTGAACAAATTATAGTATAAGTATGCAATAGAATATTATTTGCACTGTAAAAAAGGATGGATTCAAAGAGACCTAGAATATTTGTATAAACTAATCCAGAATGAAGTGAACAAGAACAGGTGAACAATTTGTACAATGACTACAACATTGCAAAGAAAAACAATTTTGAAAGACATAAAACTCTGATCAATGCAATAATCAGTCATGGCTCCAGAACAATCATGAGGAAATATGCTTCCCACCTCTTGGGGGAGATATAATATATTAAATGGCACTGAATGAGATAAATATTTTCAGAAATGACCTCTATGTGAATGTGTTTTGCTTGACTATACTAACTTGTTAAGATGGAGGATTACTCTTTTTTTTGAGGGGGAGGAAAAAAAGAAGAGAAAAGAATTAGTGGGGATTAGGAGTAGTGATAGGGATACCAAAAAAGGGAGGGAAAAAGAGTATCAATGAAGCATTTAAAGAAAATGCAGAGAAGAAGTTAGAAGAAAGTTTAGAGAGCAACACAAACAACCAAGACAGCTTTGAAACTAACATGCTGAATCTATTACAAACATTTTTAAAAGTCTATAATGAAATTCACGGTTTCAAATGCAATCTTCTTTTGATTTTCTTTGTATATATAAATGTTTGTGTTTGTTGGTCTTCATCAAGTTCAGAATAATGAAAAATAAAAATGTATTTTTTTTAAAACAATGCCTACAAAGTTTCTAGCCTAGGAGATGAGGAGTAATGCAAAAAACAAGTTAGAAAGAGAAATGCTGGTTTAGGAGATAAAGATGATGACTTCTATTTTGGGCATGTTCGGTCTGAGGTGTCAGTGGAACAGATAAGCAGAAACACGAAATTACAACTCAAGAAAAAGGTCTAGGCTAGAGATAAACATTCAGGAGTCAACAAATAGAAGTGATATTTGAAACCATTAGATATGATGGCCAGGTGAGAAAAGAAACAGAGAAAGAAGAATAAAGAACAAAACTGTCGAAATGCCTAAAATTCAGGGGTAGGAGGAAGAAGAAGAGTGAGGATAATGACAGAGGAGAGATCAGAGAGGCAGAAGAACGTAATGTCACAGAAATCAAGAAAGCAGAAAGTCTTAAGAAGTGTAATCAACAGCATCAAATGCTGAAGCAAGGTCAAGGAGGGTGAGAACTGAGAAAGGTCACTGGATTTAGTAATTATAAGTTCACCAGTGATCTTCAAAAGAACAGTTCCGATAAAGCAGTAGTTAAATTTTTAAGGGTTAAGAAGTGCTACAAAGAAGTAGAAACAGTGAGCAAAGACTTTGTTTATGAGAAATATGTGAAAGTAGGATAGAAAGAAGACAACAGTGGGACAGATCTAATAGATTTTCTTTTTAATATAGGGAAGACATGAGTATATTTGTAGGCAGAAGAAAATGAACCAGTGGAAATGGAGAGACTGAAGATGCAAAAGGAAAAGGGGAAGACCAATGAAACAAAGTCCCAGGGGAGATAAGAACAAATGTAATTAAGAGTTTAGGACCTAATCAAGGATGGGGAAACCTATGGCCACACATGGCATGCTAGGTTCTTGGGTGCAGCATTTTGACCAAGTTTTTGAGTCCAAGTGTTACAGAGCAATCATTTTATTAAGGAGATTCATTCTGTGAAGTTTGGATTCAGTCAAAGGGCTGCACTCAAGGACCTAGAGGGCCACATGTGGCCTTGAGGACCCAGGTTCCCCACCCCTGTTTAGGTGAAGCAATGCTAAGATTTTGGAGAATGAATACTTTGACATTTTGAAGAGGAAGGAAGTTTGGAAGGCTTTTCTATTTGATTTTCCATTTTCTCAGTAAAATAGGAAACTGAGGTCATCTATAGAGAATGGATGAGTTAAGATTAAAGTTAGGGACTTCAGAAAAGTAGAAAAGTTCTAGAACAACCACTGCATATATGTGAATAGAACGGGGAAGTTATAAACAATTCAGACAATGTTACTTACATCTTCCAATAGGTCCTCTGGAAGGCTAACCCTGGTCCCTCCTAGCATGCAGTCCTCCATAATTCGAGTGCTATGGCCATCTCCACATGGCCCCAGGTCCAAAGGATCCGTAAGCATATGATCCAGAGCATCCATTGTTCACTCTCCACAAGGACACTAGACAAAAGCATTCAATAATTACGAGGGATAAATGGCCTATCAGTAATCTCAGTGGGCTCAAAAGCTCCTCTAAATGATTAGGCTTAAAAATGAAAGTTCAATAAGACCATCTATATTCTTTTTTGTTGTTGTTTGGTTTTTTGCTACGCAATGGGGTTAAATGATTTGCCCAGGGTCACACAGCTAGTAAGTGTCAAGTGTCTGAGGCCAGATTTGATCTCAGGGCTCCTGACTCCAGGGCTGGTGCTCTATCCACTGCACCACCTAGCTGCCCCCAAGACCATCCATATTTTAAACCGCCTTAACTTCTCTATGGTATTTTAACAGTTTATTTAATGTCTCCCAATGCTACTGATTCTCTAACCACAATCATTTCCTCTATAGCCTAGTGGGTCTTTTGTTTCTGACCACTCCTCCAACAACAGGGAGACAATGAGGTACAGAAGAAAGAGTAGATTTGGACTTAGAGGTCTTAGGTTCAAATCCCAGCTCTACTACTTACTACCAGCACAACCTTGGGCAAGTAAATCTTTGAGGCTCAGTTCCCTCATCTACAAAAATGAGGAGGGTGGCAAAACAGAGGGTCTAAAGGATCTTTCCAGATGTAAATCAATGGTCTGACCTCATCTGGACATTAACTAATAGCTTCATTTTCACAAAAGATGGTAATTTCCTACAGGTCCTTTGAAATGCCTTATATTTGAGAAAGCCTAAATAATGCTTCAGTTTCAAGATCTTCTAAAGATAACAAATTCTAATACTAAGATAAGTTCAGGATGATATCCACCCATTAATCAATGCCATTTGGAACCAATTGTTCAACCAAATATGAACACATTTAACTGTATTACTGTTCAGCTAACATTTCCCACGTTGTCCACAAGGATCTCATGAGAGGTGATCAAATGCCTTGCTGAAATCTAAGTACAATATATCCACAGCATTTCTCTCATAAGCAGTAAAACATTATCTAACTATGAGCTACTATTATTAGCCTCCCCCATTTGCCAATTTGGTAGGGAAAAGAACAGGAATTGAATCTGTGGTTTTGCTGGTACAGAGAATTCCCAGGTGAGAAAACTTACCCTCTACCAATGTAGGTCAGCACCTTCTCTCTACAAGTTAGGGTCTAAGAGAGCTGTCTAGAGCCATAAAAGATTAAGTGACTTGCCAAAGACACACAGACAGTATGTGTCATAGAGACAAAACTTGAACCCAGGTCTTCCTAGTTAACCCTGTAAAAAAAAAAAGAAAAGAAAGTTAATCTGTCACAACTTGTCCTAAGTGAAGGCAGTCTGGTTCCTAGTAATCAATCATTCTTTTTCTAAGTCTCAAAAACTGCTTTTTAAAAATTCACTTTAGAATTTTGCAAGGTATAGACATGAAGTTCACCAGTCTACAGTTTAACAGAATCCACTATTTCCTTTTCTAAAAATCAGGATATTTTATTTATCTTCAGCATCACAATCACAGAATGCTAGAGCTAAAAGATATTTTTAATCTATCATTCTCACTTTACAGATGAAGAAAATGAGGCCAACAGAAGTTAAGTGACTTCTCCAAGGTCAGACACAGAAATACAAAGCTATAATCCAAATCTCCTGATTCCAAAGTCAGACCCCTTTACACTACACAATACAGCCCCTCTCTCATTCTCAATGACTCCTTAAAGGCTGCCGACAATTGGTCCAGCAAAGATGTTTGCTAAATTACTTCAGTATTTCTTCTGGACCAGGAGACAAAATTATATAAAGCAGGTAGATGCCTTCTCTTGGATATCAATAAATCTTATACTGTTTGTTCTTTTTAGCTTGTAGGTAATTTATTTTCTTGGATAAAAACAGATGAACCAAAATAAAAGTAGTATAATTCGGATTTCTTTTTGTATGTCAATATTTTATTGACTGCAACAAGAAGAGCTTATACTTCTTTATTCAACTTCTGAATTTAAACATATCTTTATAAGTACCTTTTCTTATGCCTGGTGCTTTTTAAGAGCCTTTAGCTTCCCTAATTCTAACCATATAAGTCTTTACCAATCCTTCATATTTATTTTTGCTTATGTGCCCCTCCTTCTATCTTTTGTACACGTCCTTTTGAAATCTGAGTTCATGTCATTAACAAAGAAACCTTTAAACACATCTGCAACGAGAAAATGACTATCATTCACAGAGCTCCAGGAAATGTTTTCTACTTCTAGCTACACTACAGAAAATAACTACCAAAGACAGTGGTTCCATAAAGTATAAGGTCCTACTCAACAAGAGCTCTTTTATAACACTTTTTTGGATGTTTCCAGCAATAATTATTTCTAGTACACAGGAAAAAGAAAATGGCACAAAAGGAGTCAATTAGCAGTTAGCCGGATTAAAAAAAAAAACTTCCAATCAGGATTTCAGGGTTCTATTCAGTCTTTAAATTGCTCCTTGAAGGATATGAACATGCAGTTTTCAGATGAAGAAATTAAAGCTATCTATAGTCATATGAAAAAATCACTGTTGATTAGAGAAATGCAAATCAAAACAACTCTGAGGTATCACATCACACCTATCAGACTGGCTAACATGACAAAACAGTAAAATGATAAATGCTGGAGAAGACGTGGGAAAATCGGAACACTAACGCACTGTTGGTAGAGTTGTGAACTGATCCAACTATTCTGGACAGCAATTTGGAACTATGCCCAAAGGGTTGTAAAAATATGCATACCCTTTGACCCAGCAATACCACTTCTAGGGCTGTATCCCAAAGAGATCATACAAATGGGAAAAGGACCCACATATACAAAAATATTTATAGCAGCTCTTTTTATGGTGGCAAAGAATTGGAAATTGAGGGGATGGCCATCAATTGGGGAACGGCTGAACAAGTTATGGTATATGAATGTAATGGAATACTATTAAGCCATAAGAAATGATGAGTAGGCAGCCTTCAGAAAAACCCGGAAAGACTTGTATGGTCTGATGCCGAGTAAAGTCAGCAGAACCAGGAGAATGTTGTACACAATAACAGCCACGTTGTGCAATGACTAATATTGATAAACTTAACCCTTCCCAGCAATACAACGATCTAAGACATCTCCAAAGGACTCATGATGGAAAATGCTGTCCACATCCAGAAAAAGAACTATGTGGTCTGAATGCAGATCGATGCATATTATTTGTTCTCTCTTTTTTCCTTTTTTTAGTTTGTTTCTTCTTTCTCATGGTTTCTCCCATTGGTTCTAATTCTTCTTTACAACATGCCTAATGTGAAAATAGGTTCAATACGAATGAATATGTAGAGCCTATATCAAACTGCATGACATCTTGGGGTGGGGAGAGGCAAAAGATGGGGAGAAAATTTGGAATTCAAAATCTCATGGAAGTGAATGTTGAAAACTAAATATATATATATATATATACATATATATATACACATATATATACATATAATATATATATATATATGTATATATATATATATTTTTTTTTTTTGGGTGAGGCAATCGGGGTTAAGTGACCCAGGGTCACACAGCTAGTAAGAGTCAAGTGTCTGAGGTCGCATTTGAACTCAGGTCCTCCTGACTCCAAGGCCAGAGCTCTATTCACCTAGCTGCCCTGATTTTTTTTAAAAAAGAAAAAAAACCGCTCCTTGACCTTGACTGTAAGTCTCTTCTTTATGGCAATTAATATTATTTCTAGTCATGACACTTTAAATCTTATTAAACAACATGATTTACTACTACAAAAAGGACTTGACCAGAGTCACAAGCAAGTTATTGGCCAAGTCACCATTCTGCCCCCGGTTAATAAGAGCAATCCATTTGATTATCATGATTATATAGATGTAATGTGCACCCACAGCAGCGGGCATGCACTTAAAATTGTTTCTCAAATTATGGTATAGATTTTCAGTGATCCATCTATATGCTTTCTTTTAAGAATGCGTTTTATAACACTGGAAAAGAGCAACTACAACTGGAATTGCAGGGAGTTTGAATTCATTAATTTTTTTAAAACAGTTTAGCTATCAACATACTGATTATTAGAAGGTACTTTCCATCCATTCATGTCTTGAGTTATCTAGAGATTTGGATTAGGATTTATAAAACAAAGCATTTTTTTCACTACACTCAGATAAAATAATTATCTTGAATAACTTTTTTCAGATTAATGTAAAATTATAAATTCATTTCTACAATGTGTTGTAAACCTAAAATCTCTACAGAAATGTGAGTTATTAACATTTACTGAATGCCTAATATTTACAAGACCCTATTCTTTAAGGGAACCTAGGTTGGCCCACTTTCTGTTGGGCAGAGGTCACATGGTGAAAGGCAGTATCTGGAAATGATACTGAACTGGGGAGTTGGGAAACCTGTATTTGTATTCATGGCTCCATCACTTACTACGTGCCCTCAGATAAGTGACAATCTCCAGGAGCCTAAGGTTCCTCACAGTAAGAGGAAGTAAATACTTACTCTGCCTACCTCACTGCCTATTCCCCCATTAGAATGTGAGCACGGGGTGTCTTACATTTCTATTTGTATCAGCACTACACACAGTGATTCATTCATACATACACTCATAGGAGTTGTAGCAAAGAAAGTCCTCTATAAATAGCTAGCATTTATATAGCCACTTTACAATAGCCTACCAATTGGTCTCTCTGCCTCAAGTCCCTCCCCACTTCAATTTCATCCACTCAGCTGTCAAACAGATCCCACACACTCCAGTGGCTCCCTATTACCTCCAAAATCAAATACAGAATCTTGTTTGGCTTTAAAATACTTCATAATGTGGCCCCTTCCTACCTTTCCATTCTTCTCACACTTTATTCCTCCTCTACATGCTCTTTGATTTGCTACTTCTCACACAAAACACTCCATCTCCCTGAGTGGGAGTTTATCCTGTACATATTTTGTTGGTATACAGTTAATAATAACTAGCACCTACACAGCTCTTTAAATTTTGTGAAGAGCTTTACAAATATTGTCACTTGATCCTCACAATAACTTTGGATCATAGGTGCTACTACTGTTTCCATTTTGTAGTGGAGGAAACTGAGGCTGAAAGAGGTTACAAAGGGGCATGGCTAAGGTCACATAGCTAGTCAGTGTCTAAGGCAAGACTGAAACAAAGGTTTTACTTTCTTGACTTGCCTACTTGACTTTAATCTCTAACAACTCTATGACATGGGGTTATCATCCCCATTTTACAGATGAAGAATTTTAAAGCGATACAAAAAATGTGAACGAATTACTATTTGTCCCTGAATAGCAATAAAACCACTAACATATAAACATAGGTGTATATATGTATATACACCTATGTGTATATATGCGTGCACATATATATATATATAAATATAAATGGAGAAACGTGAGAGCATAATTATAGATGAGGAAACAAGTGACACAAAAAAATGTGAGCGAATTACTGTTTTCTTTGAATACCAATAAACACACTAACAGACATATAAAAGTGTATATACACATACATGTATGCATATATATAAATGTGTGAACATACATACATATGTAAATGGAGAAACCTGAGAGCATAATTATAGATGAGGAAACAAACATAATACAAAAAATGTGAGTGAATTACTATTTTCATTGAATATCAATAAACACTCTCATTTTTGTATTGTATGTATACACGTCTGTATATAAATATGTGCATACACACATATATACAAATGGAGAAACATGAGTATAATTACAGATAAGGAAATTTTAAAATGCTACCAAAAAAACCAGCAAATTGCTGTCCATCCTTGAATACCAATAAACATTGGCATATATGTGTATAGGTACATATGCATATATACATAAATGAATTACATATTATATGTGTATAAATATGTGTGTGCATCTGCATATATATAAATACAAATAAAATATGAAAGTATAAAGTTTAGGACCCTCTAGTGCTGGAATAATTGAAGGAGGACAGAAAAGAGCACACAGGCTGATCAGGTGAGAACACAGATGCAAGAATGCAGCGACTCGCTGGTTGGCGTACAACACTCTCAAAACAAGAGAAGTGACCCAGAGCAAGGTGGTAAACACTCTTTCCCTTCTGTCCTTGGGTTCGTGCACACTCCAGCTAGCTCTCTCTCTCAATATCTCTCCCTTTCTCTCTCTCTATCTCTCTTGCTCTCAATCTCTTCCCCTCTCCCTCTGGTGGGAGCTTCATCTCCTCATCCACAGTTTATTGATCCTTCGTTCCTAATGGGGTAAAGTTCCCTTCCTTGAGAGATGTCTGCTTAACCCTGAATCCAGGTGGGCGGCATCCTGCCTGGCCACTGGACTGACCAGACACGAGATAACAAAATTGAAACTGAAAAGAGATCCACGAGAGGGGGACACACGAGGAGAGAAGGGTCAGGACCTGTGGGGCTCTGGCCCACCTGGGTGGTCACCCCCTCCCACCTTCTACACACACACACACACACACACACACACACACACACACACACACCCCTGCACACGCGTGCGCGCGCACATACACAAATACACGCCCCCCCCCGAACCCCTTCCCCGCACCCCACCCCGCTCACGGCCCCCCGGCGGCCTCAGGCCCAGCTCTCCCCAAGTCCCACGCTCGGGAGCGCCGGGCAGACCGTGAGGGCCCCAACAGCTCCGCGCCTGACCCTGACCTCAGACCAGCCTGCCACCTCCCCCCCCGAATGCCCACACCAGCCTGCAGCCCCTCCAGTCCTCCGTGCCTGGAGCTCCCCCCGTTCCGCGGACGCTCCCCTCCCCTAGCCCAGGTCCGCCCCGGCTGGCCCCCCCGGCCCCACCCCCACCCCCAGCCTCACCTAAGCGGCTGCCACAGCCCTGACCCCGGTTACACTTCCCAGGGCCGCAGCCGCCGGGTCTCGGACGTGCTCGTTCCCGCCAGCGTGACGTCCCCGTTCGTGCGCGCTCCCGGCTCGGAACGTTGGGAGGGGCGGAACGGGACAGGGAGGGGTAGGGCGGGGCGGGGCGGGGCGAGGAGGGGGAGATCAGGAGGGCCAAGCCCTCCTCCAGGCCTAATTCCGGCTCTCAGCCAGTCGAGAGGCGTGGCGACTGCGCCCCGGAGCCATCCCCGCCCCTGACATTGACCCGCCTAAGTTTGCAATTTGAGAGGCATGGGAGCGCCTCTCCAGCAAGGCTTCCAGAGGACTACCTCCTCCGAGTGTCTTGTATGTATCCACTTATTTACACTTGTCTCCCCCATTAAAGTGTAAGCTTCTTGAGGGCAGGAACTGGTTTTGCCCGTCTTTGCATCCCCAGCTCTTAGCATAGCACTAGGCACATAGTATCTTAAAAACGTCTTCTTTTGTGTCATGGACCCCTTTGACAATCCGGTGAAGCCTACAGAACACTTTGGAATGTTTGTAAAGGCTTAAAATAAAAATATAGGATTAAGGAAACCAATTATAGCAGAAGTAATTTAAGTGTTGGTTTTGTTGTTGTTTTTGTCATGGACCGCAGTTTAAGAACCTGTGATCTAGAACCACCGATTTTACAAATGAGAAAACAAGCTGAAAGGGACCTGATTAAGCCAACCTTCTCATTTTACAAGATGAGGAAACTGAGGCTGAGAGGTGAAGACACTCGAGATTCCACAACCAACATTAAACCCTGGTCCTGTCTTTTGCAGCCAGGGCTCCTTCCACTGGCTTATACTACCTGTACTCAGTGCCTAGCATAGAAGCACATAATAAATGCTTGATTTGATTGTACTCTGATATCTGTATTATTTTGCCAATTCCTAGCTTTTCTTCCACCTCCTCATATCCCCACACACCCCCCCTTGACCACCACCATCCCAGCTGTTAGAAGGAACGTTAGAAAAGGTTAAGGGGAAACAAACACGGGCAAAGCCAAAAGAAAATTTGTTATGAATTAAATATTTTATTTGTATGTATTAGATCCATTCATTGCCTTTTCACTTAACCTCATCCTAATGGGACCATAACTAGAGAAGGGGAGGGGGGTAACCAAATGATTGGCTGCTTTGAGTGCTAACCCAACCTTCTTCCCAAGTTTTTTAAAGTTTATGTTTCTAGCTATTTCTAGGACTTCATCAGTACAAAATTCCTGCTTTCAGCCCCAATTGCTAAGTTTAATTTACAGTTAAGATCAGGAAAGACAAATCTTTTGGACTTCAGAGTCCAGCTGCATGACCCAGGAAAGCTGCAGCCTCTTCGAGCCTTAGTTTTCCCATCTGTAAAATGGAGTTGTTCCTTGCACAACCCACCTCACAGCATATGAAGAAAGTGCTTTATAAACTGTAAGTAAACTGTGATAGATAAGTGAGCTGGAGGGAAGGATACAAGGAGAAACAGTATACATTAAAACAAAACATTAACTAAATCTATTTTTAAAAAACAAAATGTGAGATAGTATTATTAACTTCTTACAATGATATAGGCACAGTGGTACTTATATTTCTTGAGGATAATGGTTATGCTAGGAGTGAAGACTTGAGTGAAATAAGGATCCATATCTGCTGAACGTGATGTCTCCATCCAAATTAGTCACTGGCCCCAAATCTTTATTGGGAATAGTACATTGGTTACACAGATATACAGCTACCTCATTTGGCAGAGGTCAGCATGGGAGTGACCTCTCCCACCTAGATTAGAATCTGTATCCACCTAACTGAAGTATTCCACATAAGCTCAATCTCCCATTTCACTACAAATCCCCAAATTCACAATCTTTGTCAGCAGTTTGGTAGTCTTTTGAATAGAAAATATTTTGAGTTTCAGGGGAATCCCATGGCAGATGGATGCTATTAGTCTGTGCTTGAGCAAATGACTCAAAAAACCTTAAATCCGATAGCCTTTTAAAAAGGTATTGCAACTGTTCTATTGTAACTGATTCTAACTGAAAGCAGTTACTGCTCCATAAACACAAAAAGCATCTTGTTTATTAAAAAAAAGAAAATATTTATTAATTTTACACCTGCTGGATAGCACAAGACTATTAACACTATAACTCACCGAATGTACAATAAACATTCACGCTTAAATAACAGGACAGGGTTATTTTCAACCAGTAGGTCAGCTTTAGCATCTTGTGAAATGCCATTTAGCCATAGATGTCTTAGCAGTTCTTGGAAGAAAGATCCTGTTAAGCAAAGAGCCTCTCGGTCCTTGGATGCATATGCTGAGTACCTGGCATGGTCATCCCAGGTCTTACAAATCACTCAAACAAGGTCTAACCCTAAGTTTTTTATGTGTCAGCAGTATTTTTACATGATGAAAATGTTTTCATGTGGGCACAATTAATTAAACAAAGAAAATAATCCAAAATCCCAATGGAACCTCCCTTTAAATTTTCACACTGCAGCTCCTACAGTGTCAAGGTTTCAAAGTGGCTACTATGTAAATCCTGGGTATAGAGTTTTTCTGAACTGGGTTTCCTAGGTCTTTAACTGTCTCCCATCTTCTCAAAACTAAGTCCACTGGAATGGACCAATAAGCAGAAGAGTTGGTCTTAAGGGAATGTTATTTGGTTTGATTGCCACCTGCACCACATGTTAATAATACACAAAATAGTTTGGAATTCCTTTGTGATTCCACAAAAGGATAAGCACCTCAGTAAAAGAAAGACAAGACCCTTTCTACAATGTTTTCCTCCATGTCTGAGTAATCTAAAATTTGAAGGAAAAAAACTGGCATAGAACGAACATACCATTCAGTGATGGTTTTCAATTTTAGCCAATGAAAATGTCTGCTTTTGGCATGGGAGCAGGGATGGGGAAGTGATGAAAAAGAATACTCTGCCTGCAACAAAATTAAGAAGTAATCAGAAAGGTCAAACTTCAGTTTTAGAACCCAAAATTGAATCTGTAGTAAGTCTGCAACTTTCAGATATAGTCTTGCTAGACAGCATAATCATGTGTTTGTGATCACTGAATTTGTGTGACTGTGCAAAACTGGCATTTACCCAATATTTCCATTTGAAAAGATTAATACTGCATGTCTGGTACCCTCAGAAACCTTAGACTTCCTATTTCTACAAATTTACCAACTCCTCAGCATACCAAGCTTTCAGGAATAATTATATTAAGTAAGTATAAATCTACATGTTTGCAGGTTATTTGAAAATATTTACCAAATTGTCTGCTATCCAGAAAGTTTCCTTGGCACCAGGTAATCTGACCTAAGCAAAGTAGCTGCTAAGTTTTCTAACAGTTTGTAGTGCCAGACATACCCAAGAAGTCACAGGAAATTAACCTAACTGCAACTTCATTTAGTTATCTCTATTTTAAGGTATAACTTCTCTGTTCTGGAAAGTAACAAAGTCTACTGAAGGATAATTATTCACAAAAATCTGTCAGTAGTTGTGTCACAAAGGACTGCTAAGACATTCTGATTTCAGAAATAGATTTATACATACAATTCCTGGAATGACTTTTTAAAATAAAATCACCCTTCCCTCTCAATTTCATATTCTGTTCAACCCCAAGTAAGACTCCTGAACAGGAGCAAATGCAAGAAAAACTGTCTTCAAGACACAGGTTTTGTTTTTATTTTTTCCTCCCATGTCAAAAATAACAGTTTCGTCTATATGCAAACATCAGGTGATCAAGTGTTTCCTGGTGATTACCTTAATGTATTTATTACTAGTGGTCCCCTGACATTTTTTATTTTTCCTGAGTCCAAAGTTGGTCATTCGATAAAAAGGTCCAAAAGAATTACAGTAAAGTGAAAGTGAAATGTGTAGGAAATTAGGACGGCCAACTTTCCCTCCAACCTTCACGAATGAATGTTCGTTTTAAGACAGCACTAAAAAGAATGAAAACTCGATGCATTTCTGTGAACGGCTAGTTGATTGTACACCTGGAATGAGGAAAGAAAGAATCCATCCTTCACCAATGACCAGGAAATGGATCCTTATGGGCACTGAAAAGGCACTGAAATCACTTTAAAACCATCCAATAGTTTTTGACAATTCTGCCTTTATCTCTGCTCCCTTCCTGATACAACCATAACTGTAGAATGGAAGGCAAAGCACTTCTGTAGGGTTAAAGTACTACTACTGGACTTTATTTTTCCAGGAAACCCACCTTCCTGGCAATAAGACAAGTGTCCTGATGCTAGGTAGAAGAGGGGCCCAGTACCACCAGGGCAGACTATGGTACCCAGTCAGCTAAGCCAGGATAATCCAGGCTGGGCGGAAAACTGCCAACAAGCCAATGGTTTTCCAAGGGGAAGTAAAAAAAGACAGTCAGGAGAATAATTAAAGCAAAAGTTTCTTCAAGGCTCTACTGTAAGGTCTTTCTATACTTCCACCATTTAGCCAGTGGTGTTCACCAACTGATCTTTGCTGCTTTTCTAGGCTCCCTTGTTTACAGCATGAAGAGGACTTGAAACCAGAAGGTGAAGCAGCTCTGACCTCTAACAAGTCTGCAAAATGCCCCTTATCTTGTAGCATCAATGCTGGGAAGATACAGGGCATGTTATGCCAACAGCCATTAACATGGCAGGTTCTTTTCCTCCTTTGGTATGAATACAATAAATATGCTATTTAGGTACTTCCACAAAGGAAAAGTAAGGCTTGTCAAGTACGTCAAAATCAACTCAGAAACAAGCCAAAGTTTCTATATTTTCTCCTGCTGCAAAACTCCTTTGCTCTGAACAGTTTCCCTGAAACACTTGGCCTATTACATACGTGGCAGTATGTCTATGGAGTCCTAAGAATCAAATCCTTTTTTGTGATGACTGCAGCTATAAAGTCAACCTCCTAGCAAGAACTCCAAAATTCCTAGCTTCAAAACTCTGGAGTAAATAATAAATTAAAAAGAATTCCAAGTTTCAGATTTGCTAAGTGGTAGTCAGGAGACATGATGGGACTGCTTGATTCCAACTCCAGGGATAAAGGTTAAGTTTTAGTAATATGCACTTCAC